CCACATGTACAGAATAAAATACTAGAGCTAAAAACTAAAATCACGGGGTGAGATAATGAATGGAAATACATCCTGCAACCCCAGCAACTACAACTCCCAAATCACAAAATCAATCCACCCAACCTCACCAATAGTTAAATTTGGGCATATCCGGGATTTGTGCCAAATTTGGTCCAGTGAATGAAAATACATCCTACATATCAGATATTTACATGACGATTCATCACAGAAGCAAAACGGCAGTTACGAAGTAGCAGCGAGAATAATTTTATGGTTGGGGGTCACCACAACATGAGGAACTGGATTAAGGGGTTGTCGCATTAGGAAGGTTGAGAAACACTGGTCTAGATCAAGGGAAGACATAGTTCTTTTCAGCAGTGGCTTTGGTGGAGTTTCCTTCTCTGCAAGTGAAGGAGGCCTAAGTATAAGAAGAATATTAAGTTGCTAAACTGCTTAGCTTACATAGGAAATTGGTTTGCGGTTAGGTGCAACACCGATCGCAAGTAGAGAACACATTGTGGTTTTGACAGCCTAACACCTTGAGAACAACAGGAAGCCAGGCAAAGTGCACAAACCTGAGTTCTGAGCAGAGGCAGGATGGCCATCTGTTGGGAGAGCTTTGATGGTGTCTTCATGCCTGGTAGAAGGGGGTCAGGATAGATGGCCCTTGGGGTCTCGGATTGCAGGTGGGAAAGCTTGCCTGTGATACCAACCTTCGTGTGCCCTCTGGCCACATCCCATACTGTACGCTCCTTGCAAGAGATGGGCTCCCTGTTCTGGGATGTCTCTCTCTCCTCCTCCTGCCCTGGTGTCAGGTGGCCGGCCATAAAGGTCTTCTTCTGCAGACTCAGGGCATTGCATGGCTTCATGGGAGGCATCCTCGGGCCAGGTCTAAATTTGGCCAGGCAGAAGAACAGGCCAAGCATGTCTGCTGCTGTGCATGTGGCAGGGCTCACACCCCATTGTAGTCGGTGGTCTGTGGTTTGCTCCTCTCCACACACACATGCACACAAAGATTACCAGAAAGTCACACTGGAGGACTTAGAACAAGCATGGGCCAATGCCAGTCCTCCAGGTGTTTTGGACTTCAACTCCCACAATTCCTAATGGAAAGTTAGTGTTTTTCATACTAATTGCTTATACCAGTGGTTCTCAGCCTTCCTAATGCCATGACCTCTTAATACAGCTCCTCTTGTTGTGGTGACCCTCAACCAGAGGTGGCCCTAGGTAATTTTCAATGGTAAGCAACAGTATTTTGGCGCCCCCACTCCCACCAATCACTAATATATATTTTCTGTTTATCGTGGGAGTTCTGTGTGCCATATTTGGTTCAATTCCATCATTGATGGAGTTCAGAATGCTCTTTGATTGTAGGTGAACTATACATCCCAGTAACTACAACTAGCATTTATCAAGGTCTATTTTCCCCCAAGAGCGCCTCAAGAGCACCCCTGGCAAAATCAACTCTACTGCGAATGCTTACTTTGCGTAATGGGTTGAGCCGCCCCTGCCCTCAACCATAACATTTTCGTTGCTACTTAACAGCTATAATTTTGCTACTGTTATGAATCGTAATATAAATGCATGATATGCAGGATGTATTTTCATTCATTGGACCAAATTTGGCACTGTTAGAGACCCCAAATCGGGTCTTAATATTCGAGTCCAGGTCACGGGAGCACGTAAAGAAGGAGACAGTCCCGAAAAAGATCAAAAACAAGGTTTTATTTTCATCATGGCCATAAGAAGTCAGGCAGCCGCGCTGAATACACACAGGCACCAACACTTACAATTAGCTGCCAATTAGCTTCCGAGCACAATTCAAAGTGCTGATGCTGACCTATAAATCCCTAAGCAACTCCGGCCCAATTTACCTGTCCAAACGGATTCTCCCCTATGAGCCATCAAGGTTGTTAAGATCTTCTGGAGGGGCCCTGCTCTCGGTCCCACCACCCTCGCAATCACGTTTGGTAGGGACGAGGGACAGGGCCTTCTCGGTGGTGGCCCCTCGGCTCTGGAACTCTCTCCCACTGAAGATTAGATCTGCCCCTTCCCTCCTGACTTTCAGAAAGCTGGTAAAATCTTGGCTTTGGAATATAGCATTTGCAGAATGATGATCGAGTCAATGACTGCTGACCACACCGGCGGATGGTGATGAATTTGTGATTTTACTTTGACGACCTGGCTTTCTGTAATTGTATGATCTGCATTTTAATGTATTTTATGTATTAATATATGCTATTATGTTTATCCTACTTGTGTATGAATTTCCTGCTGTTAGACGGCCTGAGTCCCTCTTCGGAGGTCGAGAAGACCAAGTTATAAAAGCTCTAAATAAATAAATTACAAATGACTGCTGCGCCCCTCCTTGATTTCTGCAAACCTTTATACCATCATGTAAACAAGGCAATGGAAAGTACCTTTGATGGTTGACCTTTTATTATTATAATAATAATAATAATAATAATAATGATAATAATACTTTATTTGTACCCCGCTACCATCTCCCCGTTCTGCTTCATTGACTATTCTAAAGCCTTTGACTGTGTGGATCATAATAAATTGTGGCAAGTTCTTGGTGGGATGGGCATCCCAAGCCCCCTTCCCTCTCTCCTGAGGAATCTGTACAAGGACAAAGTAGCAACAGTCAGAACTGACCACGGAACAGGAGACTGGTTCCAGATTGGGAAAGGCGTCCGGCAAGGCTGCATCCTCTCACCCAACCTTTTTAACTTGTATGCAGAACACATCATGCGAGGATGTGCGGGGCTTGAGGAATGCAAAGCTGGGGTGAAAATTGCTGGAAGAAACATTAACAACCTCAGATATGCAGACGACACCACTCTGATGGCCGAAAGCGAGGAGGAGCTGAGGAGCCTTCTAATCAAGGTGAAAGAAGAAAGCGCAAAAGCCAGGTTGCAGCTAAACATCAAAAAAACCAAGATTATGGCAACAAGAATGATTGACAACTGGAAAATAGAGGGAGAAAATGTGGAGGCCGTGACAGACTTTGTATTCCTAGGCGCAAAGATGACTGCAGATGCAGACTGTGGCCAGGAAATCAGAAGACGCTTCCTTCTTGGGAGGAGAGCAATGTCCAGTCTCGATAAAATAGTAAAGAGTAGAGACATCAGACTGGCAACAAAGATCCACCTAGTCAAAGCCATGGGATTCCCTGTAGTAACCTACGGATGTGAGAGCTGGACCTTAGGGAAGGCTGAGCGAAGGAAGAGAGATGCTTTTGAGCTGTGGTGTTGGAAGAAAGTTCTGAGAGTGCCTTGGACTGCGAGAAGATCCAACCAGTCCATCCTCCAGGAAATAAAGCCCGGCTGCTCACTGGAGGGAAGGATACTAGAGACAAAGTTGAAGTACTTTGGCCACATCATGAGGAGACAGCAAAGCCTAGAGAAGACAATTATGCTGGGGAAAGTGGAAGGTAAAAGGAAGAGGGGCCGACCAAGGGCAAGATGGATGTACGGCATCCTTGAAGTGACTGGCTTGACCTTGAAGGAGCTGGGGGTGGTGACGGCCGACAGGGAGCTCTGGCGTGGGCTGGTCCATGAGGTCACGAAGTCGGAGACGACTGAACGAATGAACAACAACAACAACCATCTCCCCAAGGGACTCGGTGCGGCTTACATGAGGCCGAGCCCAAACACAACAATACAAGCAATTAAAAAACATAGACAATAAAATACACAACATTATCAATAAGACAACACACAATTAAAAACAGTGGGAAGGCCAAATGTAGAGTTAAAATTGGAAATAATGCTGGGACATGGATGAAAGGTGATACTGGTGTTTGTGGAAGGGCATACGAGCAGACCTAAAGAAATGTAAAGTGCTTTGGAGGACAAATGTAAAGTGCTTTGGAGGACAAAGTGCTATGGGATCATTATTCCGGGAAGGCACACTGGAACAGCCACGTCTCTTACTCTTTCCAACACCCCCTTTTGATGCTTGCACCTGGCCTGAGCCTTTGTTTGTCAAAACCACAATTTGTTCTTTACTTGCAAACTTTGCGCTTCACCGCAAACCCATTTTCTATGTAAGCTGAGCAGGTTAGCAACTTCTTTTTAGAACATCCTCCCTCCTGCTGACATGTTGCTCTTTCTCTGCAGGGAGGGGTACCTTTCTTATGTTTTGTTGCCAAAGCTTAGCTATTGCAAAAATCACTCATCGTCTCCTTCAGCACAAACACCCAAATTTGAATACTGGTGGGATTGGGTGGGGGTGGGGAGGGTTGATTGTGTCATTTGGGAGTTGTAGTTGCTGGGATGTATAGTTCACTTACAATCAAAGAGAATTCTGAACTCCACCAATGATGGAATTGAACCAAACTTGGCACACAGAACTCCCATGACCAACAGAAAATACTGGAAAGGTTTGGTGGGCATTGACCTTGAGTTTGGGAGTTGTAGTTCACCTACAACCAGAGAGCACTGTGGACTCAAGCAATAATTGATCTGGACCAAACTTGGCATGGATCCTCAATATGCCCAACTGTGAACACTAGTGGAGTTTGGGGAAAATAGGCCTTCACATTTGGGAGTTGTTGTTACTGGGATTTATAGTTCACCTACAATCAAAGAGCATTCTGAACTCTACCAACGATGGAATTGAACCAAACTTGGCACACAGAACTCCCATGACCAACAGAAAATACTGGAAGGATTTGGTGGGCATTGACCTTGAGTTTGGGAGTTGTAGTTCACCTCCATCCAGAGAGCACTGTGAAAGTCGCCATCGTGATGAAGTCCTCAGTTGGTAAATATATCCTCCTCTTTGCATTCCAGAATATGGTAAACCTATCACAGTATCACATTTGCCCTATATGAAAGGATATCCGTTCTTTACTGTTATTTACTGTTCACCTGCATGGCATATTTTCTTTCTCTGGCAAGGCAGTGTGTGGGCTGATCAAACGTGAACTACACGTGGTTTAGTTTACATTACGCCACAAACTCCACTGATCTTTCCCACCTTATTCCCTCCAGACGTTCACAGCCTGGTGCAACTCTCACTTGCGGAAGGCAGGGACCGGGATTGAGAACATTGAGGAAGATTTCAGGAATGGCCTTAAACTGATGCTCCTGCTGGAGGTGATTTCAGGTAAGAAGCTCCTAGGTTGGGATCCATGGCAAGGACGTTGACATGCCTTCCTCTTGGCACATTTCTCTCTTTCGCCCTCCATTCGTGCCTCTTCAAATTCTACAGCACTGCTGGTCACAGCTGACCTCAAGCTGGACCACTCAAGAGCCAGGTCTTCCCAGTTCTCAGTGTCTATGCCAGAGTTTTTAAGGTTGGCTTTGAGCCCGTCTTTCAATCTCTTTTCCTTCCCACCAACATTCCGTTTCCCGTTCTTGAGTTCGGAGTAGAGCAACTGCTTTGGGAGATGGTGGTCAGGCATCCGGACAACGTGGCCGGTCCAGCGGAGTTGATGGCAGAGGACCATCGCTTCAGTGCTGGTGGTCTTTGCTTCTTCCAGCACGCTGACATTTGTCCGCTTGTCTTCCCAAGAGATTTGCAGGATTTTCTGGAGGCAGCGCCGATGGAATCGTTCCAGGAGTTGCATGTGACGTCTGTAGACAGTCCACGTCTCGCAGGCGTATAGCAGGGTTGGGAGGACAATAGCTTTATAAACAAGCACCTTGGTATCCCTATGGATGTTCCGGCCCTCAAACACTCTCTGCTTCATTCGGAAAAATGCTGCACTCACAGAGCTCAGGCGGTGTTGAATTTCAGTGTCAATGTTGACATCTGTAGACAGTCCACGTTTCACAGTTGCATAGCAGGGTTGGGAGGACAATAGCTTTATAAACAAGCACCTTGGTCTCCCTACGGATGTCCCGCTCCTCAAAGACTCTCTGCTTCTTTCAGAAAAATGCTGCACTTGCAGAGCTCAGGCGGTGTTGAATTTCAGTGTCAATGTTGACGTCTGTAGACAGTCCACATTTCGCAGTTGTATAGCAGGGTTGGGAGGACAATAGCTTTATAAACAAGCCCCTTGGTCTCCCTACGGATGTCCCGCTCCTCAAAGACTCTCTGCTTCACTCAGAAAAATGCTGCACTTGCAGAGCTCAGGCAGTGTTGAATTTCAATGTCAATGTTGACATCTGTAGACAGTCCATGTTTTGCAGTTGTATAGCAGGGTTGGGAGGACAATAGGTTTATAAACAAGCACCTTGGTATCCCTACGGATGCCCCAGTCCTCAAACACTCTCTCATTCGGAAAAATGCTGCACTCGCAGAGCTCAGGCGGTGTTGAATTTCAGTGTCAATGTTGACGTCTGTAGACAGCCCATGTTTCGTAGTTGTATAGCAGGGTTGGGAGGACAATAGCTTTATAAACAAACCCCTTGGTATCCCTACGGATGTCCCGGCCCTCAAACACTCTCTGCTTCATTCAGAAAAATGCTGCACTCGCAGAGCTCAGATGGTGTTGTATTTCAGTATCAATGTTGACTTTTGTGGAGAAGTGGCTGCCAAGGGAGCGGAAATGGTCAACATTTTCTAATGTTACACAATTAAGCTGTGTTTTTGGCACTGGAGAAAGAAGTAGGGATTAGCAGACATGCTTTCCTTGGACCTGTCTCCATTTGTCTCCAATCCTCTCCTGTTCTTCTTCCCAAGGTGAACGGCTGCCAAAACCGGACAAAGGCAAGATGCGCTTCCATAAGATCGCCAATGTCAACAAAGCCCTGGACTTCATTGCCAGCAAAGGGGTCAAACTTGTGTCCATTGGGGCTGAAGGTGAGTAGGTTGGAGCATGTGGAGCTGGATGGTTGACAGGGGTTTTTTTTTTTGGTCATTTAAGGAATAGTGTTCAAGAATAGTGGTTCCCAACCTTTATTTGACCAGGAACCACTTGAATACGGACTACTTTGACCAGGGACCACTTGACCAGGGACCACTCTCCAATATTAGTACTAAAAGGATTACAAATCTGGTTTTGGTCAACTTTAAATTTGAATTGGTTATTTGGGTTGCCGATTCAAAAAATTGCATTGGATAGACCACATCAGCTCTGGATAGATCAGATCAGCTCTATATAAGGACCCCTCTCCTTTGATCAAGGGTTATGAATCTGTTTTTGGTCAACTTTAGATTCGGTTTGGTTATTTGGGGTGCTGATTCAGAAAATTGCATTGGATAGAACACATCAGCTCTGGACAGACCACATGAGCTCTATATAAGGACCACTCTCTTTTGACCAAAGGTTATGAATCAGTTTTTGGTGAACTTTAAATTTGGTTTGGTTATTTGGAGTGCTGATTCAAAAAATTGCATTGGATAGACTACACCTGCTCTAGATAGACCACATCAGCTCTATATAAGAACCACTCTCCTTTGACCAAGGGTTATGAATCTGTTTTTGGTCAACATTAAATTCAGTTTGGTTATTTGGGGTGCTGATTCAGAAAACTGTATTGGATAGACTACATCAGCTCTGGATAGACCACATCAGCTCTATATAAGAACCACTCTCCTTTGACCAAGGGTTATGAATCAATTTTTTGTGAACTTTAGATTTGGTTTGGTTATTTGGAGTGCTGATTCAGAAAATAGCATTGGATAGACCACATCAGCTCTGGATAAACCACATCAGCTCTATATAAGGACCACTCTCCTTTGACCAAGGCTTATGTATCAATTTTTGGTGAACTTTAGATTTGGTTTGGTTATTTGGAGTGCTGATTCAGAAAATAGCATTGGATAGTCCACATCAGCTCTGGATAGACCACATCAGATCTATATAAGGACCACTCTCCTTTGACCAAAGGTTGTGAATCAGTTTTTTGTGAACTTTAAATTTGGTTTGGTTATTTGGGGTGCTGATTCAGAAAATTGCATTGGATAGACCACATCAGCTCAAGATAACCACATCAGCTCTAGTTTCTGATACAGATCATATGTCATCCAGTAGTCACCATCTTTGTAGTAACCTGAAACCCAAAACCTTGAAGGCTTTAAAGATCACCAGGGTCCACATTGGCACTCCCGTCCCTTCTCTCTAAGTCCCTTCTTACCTTCTGTTCTTCCAGAAATTGTGGATGGGAACCTGAAGATGACTCTGGGCATGATCTGGACCATCATCCTTCGTTTTGCGATCCAGGACATTTCAGTGGAAGGTGAGCATGAAAGCTCCCAGTTTCCCCTTTGCAGCATCCAGTGTGGCTCAGAGGATAGAGAGGCAGCTTTCCATAGAGTAGCCCAAAGTGATAAAAAGAATAAAACACACAGACCAATATTATATCTCCCATAGGAAGGCTGGATGGCCATCTGTCAGGGGTGCTTTGAATGCAATATTCCTGCTTCTTGGCAGGGGGTTGGACTGGATGGCCCATGAGGTCTCTCCCAGCTCTATGATTCTATGATTTTAGGAGGCTTTTCTTTGTAGTAAAATAATATGGTTGAAGTATTTACAAGAGCAAAGTTTCCATAATGAATACTTCCTTCTTTGCTTCCACGCTGGGCTTCTTTCTCATGCAGATAAACAGCTTCGCTCTCACAGAGCCTCATCTCACAGCGAACTTACACAAAAGCTTCACACAATAGCTTTTTACACACAGCAGCCTTCACACTGGAGCTTCTCTCACAAGTTCTACTCACAGTGAGGCTTACTAACACTGAGGCCTACCTCGCACCGTGGCCTTTCTCCCACTGAGGCTTTCTCACACTGATGGCTCTCTCAGACCGATGCCTCTCTCACACTGAGGTGAACTAACACTGATGTAAACTAACACTGAGGCCTACCTCACACTGTGGCCTTTCTCCCACTGAGGCTTTCTCACACTGAAGGCTCTCTCAGACCGATGCCTCTCGCACACTGAGGTGAACTAACACTGATGTAAACTAACACTGAGGCCTACCTCACACTGTGGCCTTTCTCCCACTGAGGCCTTCTCAGACTGATGGCTCTCTCAGACCGATGCCTCTCGCACACTGATGTAAACTAACACTGAGGCCTACCTCACACTGTGACCTTTCTCCCACTGAGGCCTCCTCAGACTGATGGCTCTCTCAGACCGATGCCTCTCTCACACTGAGGTGAACTAACACTGAGGCCTTCTAAGCTACAGGTACATCTGCTTAAATTGTACTACAGCGTTTGCTGAGTCATTGCACCAATTTAATCCTTTCAGTGCTTGACTCGCATTTTTTGTAATTAAAAGTTGTTGCGCATAGCATGTTTCAGTCAGGTCCAGTGCAGCAGACACAATAACATTGCACCCAGGCAGAGTTAAAACACAAACTTGCAATGTTGCAAAGAAAAACAAACAGTGCAACAAACTTACATAGTCCTTGTAAGCAATACAGAATAAGGCTTCTGCATCCAAATGAGAGAGCAATACAAATGCCTGAGCAAAGGCTCTTCAGAGCAAAGCTGACCTGTATTCTAAAAGACAAACAGTTATACCCCACCTGATGTGGTCCAAACTTACTAGTTGACCTACACTAGCAGCTGCACATAATAATCAACAGTATAAGGTTTTCTTTAGCAGACACACACATACTTGATCCTGTTACAACTTACTGTAACAAAAATAAGCCTTCACATGAGGTCTTCAACCTGGGGCTTCTGACACTGAAGCTTCTCACACCAGGCCTACTAACACTGAGGCTTACCTCACACTGAGGCCTTTCTCCCACTGAGCGTTCTCATACTGAGGCCTACTAACACACTGAGGCCCTTCTCCCACAAAGACCTCTCTCACACAGAGGCTTCTCTCACGCTACCTCAAACTGCTTATATTGAACTGAAGCTTTTGCTGAGTCATTGCACCCATTTAACGCTTTTAGTGCTTGACTCGCTTTTTTGTAATAAAAAATACCTAATTTTTAATATTTCTGCAATGGCCCTCATTCTGTTTCCAGCATTTCCAGCTGAAAGAGGCTCCTAGCAGAAGCAGCCCATCTGCTTCTTGTAAAACCAGAAAAGAAACAGTATGAGGAAACTCTAGAACTGTCAAACATCACCTTGGGAAGCTACGTATTGACTCGCCTTTCTCTCTTTCCTTTTCTTCCAGAAACCTCGGCCAAGGAGGGCCTGCTGCTCTGGTGCCAGAGGAAAACGGCTCCCTACCGGAATGTAAACGTCCAGAACTTCCACATTAGGTACAAGGCCGGGCTCAGGCTCAGAAGTGATTGTGTTTGTTGTGGGATTCTGGGATTGTGGTCCAAATAAAATGAATATCCCAGCTTCATAGCAATATTTAGATCAGAATATTTTGACTGCATTGCCACCCTTAAAATATGGAATAATTGCTCATGCTGTTAGGACTAAACTTTAGACTTGTGCGTATCATGCAGAAATATCCTTGATTCGGATCTAGTTCAGATGTTTAGCACTTTTGAAGCGAGTTCCGACATGCCAATATTAAGAATTTGAATCAAAAAGAGCCTTCTTTTATGCTTCGGATGTGTTGTGATGAGGCTAAAATTCACAGGATAACCAAGCCCTGCTGAGAGGCGAAGCCAAACCTGTTGGTATGCCTCTCCAGCCAATCAGGGCTGACAGAGGAGGGAGGGATGTTTAGCACTTTTGAAGCGAGTTCCGACATGCCAATATTAAGAATTTGAATCAAAAAGAGCCTTCTTTTATGCTTCGGATGTGTTGTGATGAGGCTAAAATTCACAGGATAACCAAGCCCTGCTGAGAGGCGAAGCCAAACCTGTTGGTATGCCTCTCCAGCCAATCAGGGCTGACGGAAGAGGTAGTTAGAGGCGGAGTTTGCTAGAAAATGTTGTTTTAAAAAAACTCTGAAAATTCCCCAAAAAATCCGTGGATGAGTGAAATTTGGTGAGCTAACGGTGGTAAATGTGTTCTACCACTGTAGCAAATTTCATCAGGATAGCTCAAAAAATGAGGGAGAGGGAAGCCCCTCAAATTTCCGCACTGACAGTAATGTTTTCCTTAATGCACATGCGCAACCATCATTAAAAAGGTACGTACGAAGATTCGGAAGTATCGTAAAGTTCCGAAATTTTTACCTCTAAAATTCGGAAAGGATTTTAGAAACGAAGCGCCAGCGCCCCCTACTTTTGAACTCAGTTTAGAACCAATTTTTTAATCACACAACCCTACTATTATTGCTACATTATTATTATTATTATTATTATTACTACTACTACTACTACTACTACTAAACCCATCATTCCAGGTCTCACGTGCTTTTTCCTCTTTGTCTCCCACATCCCACCAACCAGCTGGAAGGATGGCCTGGCTCTTTGCGCTCTGATCCACCGACACCGGCCTGACCTCATTGACTACGCCAAACTCAGGAAGGTAATGCTTTCTCCTTGTATTTTGGGTTCATTTGTTCCCTTCGAGGCTGTTTCTCACTTCTGTGGTCAGGCTGCACCTCTCTACTCAACGTCCCTTTTGAGCAGTGTTTCTCAACCTGGGGGTCAGGACCCCTGAGGGGGTCGCGAAGGGGTGTCAGAGGGGTCCCCAAAGACCATCAGAAAACACAGTATTTTCTGATGGTCATGGGGATTCCATGTTGGAAGTTTGGCCCAATTCTATCATTGGTGGGGTTCAGAACACTCCTTGATTATAGGTGAACTATAAACCCGAATATCTACAACTCCCAAATGTCAAAGTCTATTTTCCCCAAACCCCATCAGTGTTCACATTTGGGCATATTGAGTATCCGTGCCAAGTTTGGTCCAGATCCATCATTGTTTGAGCCCACAGTGCTCTCTGGATGTAGGCGAACTACAACTCCCAAACTCAAGGTCAATGCCCACCAAACCCTTCCAGTATTTTCTGTTGATCATAGGAGTTCTCTGTGCCAACTTTGGTTCAATTCCATTGTTGGTGGGGTTTGGAATGCTCTTTGTTTACATGTTAGCTACAAATCCCAGCAACTACAACTCCCAAATGACAAAATCAATCCCCCCGCCAACCCCACCATACCGGGTATTTGTGCCAAATTTGCTACAGTGACTGAAAACACATCCTGCAGATCATTATTTACATGGCGATTCATAATGTTAGGATTATGGTTGGGGGTCATCACAACATGAGGAACTGTATTAAGGGGTCGCGGCATTAGGAAGGTTGAGAACCACTGCTTTTGAGGCAGCCCTTATGTCTCACCCCATCATGACCAAACTACAACCCCAATGTGGAAATTTCCCACTACGGTTCTGGGCCCAGCTTGTCAGGGATCTCACTTGGAAGCCCGTTGACCCTATCCAACCCCACATCTTTTACTATACTACAAACACACCCTACTCAAGATGTTAACTTTTAACTTAGCAAAATGCAAGAGTAAATACAAAGGGATGTGTTGATCTTTGCACAGGATGACCCCATTGGAAACCTCAACACAGCCTTCGAGGTGGCAGAGAAATACCTGGATATTCCTAAGATGCTGGATGCAGAAGGTGAGAAGCCAAATGTGTTCTTGTTGTTATTACTATTATTAGCCAGAACCTTCCGTCACGCTATTATTATTATTATTATTATTATTATTATTATTTTATTACTTTTATTATTTTACTCTATTATGACTATTATCACATTTATTATTTTACTCTGTTTATTATTATTATTACATGTACATTATTTTACTTTATTACTATTATTATTTTATTATATTTATTATTTTACTCTCATTACTATAGTTACATTATTTTACTCTATTATTATTTTTATTATTTTACTCTATTATTACTATTATTAAATTTATTATTTTTCTCTACTATTATAAGTACATTATTTTTATTACTATTATTATTTTATTACATTTATTATTTTACTCTCATTACTATAGTTACATTTACATTATTTTACTCTATTATTATTTTACTCCATTATTACTATTATTATTTTTATTATTTTTCTCTATTATTATATGTACATTATTTTACTTTATTACTATTATTATTTTATTATATTTATTATTTTACTCTCATTACTATAGTTAAATTTACATTATTTTCTTACTATTATTTTATTACATTTATTATTTTACTCTCATTATTATTGTTACATTTACGTTATTTTACCCTATTATTATTTTTATTATTATTTTACTCTATTATTATGTGTACATTATTTTACTTTATTACTATTATTATTTTATTACATTTATTATTTTACTTTCATTATTATTGTTACACTTACGTTATTTTACCCTATTGTTATTTTTATTATTTTACTCTATTATTATGTGTGCATTATTTTACTTTATTACTATTATTATTTTATTACATTCATTATTTTACTCTCATTACTATAGTTACATTTACATTATTTTACTCTATTATTATTTTTATTATTTTATTCTATTATTACTATTATTACATTTATTATTTTAATCTATTATTATTATTATTTTATTCTATGATTACTATTATTACATTTATTATTTTAATCTATTATTATTATTTTATTCTATTATTACTATTATTACATTTATTATTTTACTCTATTATTATATATACATTATTTTACTCTATTATTACTTTTATTATTTTATTCTATTATTACTATTATTACATTTATTATTTTTCTATTATTATATGTACATTATTTTACTCTATTATTACTTTTATTATTTTATTCTATTATTACTATTATTGCATTTATTATTTTACTCTATTATTATTATTATTTTATTCTATTATTACTATTATTACATTTATTATTTTACTCTATTATTATATGTACATTATTTTATTACTATTATTTTATTACATTTATTATTCTACTCTCATTACTATTGTTACATTTACATTATTTTACTCTTATTATTATTTTTATTATTTTGCTCTATTATTATTACTATTATTACATTTATGATTTTACTCTATTTATTGTTATTTATTCTTATCGGAAGAATATGCAAGTACATTACCATTGAAAGTGCTTAGAATAATGGTTTAATCAGAGTTGGAAAGTCTTATCTTAAATTACAGTGTTATGTAAATATTCAAAAACATTAAACCTACTGATGCCTCAATTAATGCAATTTTTATATCTTTTTTTTAAAAAAAATCTATTTTTATCTATTTTTATTTTGAAATGTACCATTCAAATGCTGCATTTCCCACCCTCAGATTATACTCGACTCAATATGTTTTCCCAGTTTTTTTTGTGGTAGATAGATACATATATATATATATATATATATATATATATATATATATATATATATATATAATATAAATTAAAATATAAATTAAATTGTTTATATATTTGGCTTATATTCGGGTTGGCTTACACTCGGGTATATATGGTAGTTACCTAGCTAGAAACCAGTTAGTGAATTGCAACGATGTGTAACGAGATACCAAGAAGAGTGTCGCAATACTCATGTGACACTACCAATGCACTTCCTGTATCATTTTTTGGGGCTTAATATACATTTTTTTAATCCCCTTCCAGATATTGTCAACACCCCCAAACCTGATGAGAAAGCCATCATGACATACGTGTCCTGTTTCTATCATGCCTTTGCTGGTGCTGAGCAGGTAAAACAAAGAAAGATACGTCCCCTCCCTTCTGCACTATTTCCATAACATAAATAAACAAATCCATAGTAGCTTTACGCACAGCACCCTTCACACTGGAGCTTTCTCACACAAGGCTTCTCTCACACAGAGGTTTACCTCACATTATTTAAGATGACACTAGCTTTGGCCTACAAACTCGAATACGTTTCGGCTTGATTGCAGGTTTGGACGTGATTCCAGGCCTGTTGTTGCTGAACATGTTGGGTGAGTGGGCTTATTAACCAAAGCCCCTCCTCATAAATGTACAGCAGAGTAACTTAATCAACAGCGTAACCCAGCACCAGTAGCCCAAAGTGCTATTTACATGAACAAGGTTTCCACAACACAAATAAAGTTCTTTAAACTTCCTTCTTTGCTTCCACGCTGCGCTTCTTTCTCATGCAGGTAAACGGCTTTGCTCACACAAAGCCTCTTCACACGGCGAACTTACGCAGGAGCTTCACACAATAGCTTTTTACACACAGCAGCCTTCACACTGGAGCTTCTCTCACAAGGCCTACTCACAGTGAAGTCTACTCACACTGAGGCCTACCTCACACTGAGGCCCCTCTCCCACTGAGGCCTTCTCACACTGAGGGCTCTCTCAGATTGACACCTCTCTTACACTGAGGCGAACTACCACTGATGCAAACAAACACGGGAGGCCTACAGGCACACCTGCTTATATTGAACTAAGGAGTCTCTTTTCACACCGAAGTTACACAAGAGTAGCTTTTTTACACACAGCAGCCTTCACACATGAGGCCTTCAACCTGAGGCTTCTCCCACCGAAGCTTCTCACACTGAGGCCTACTAACACTGAGGGCTCTCTCAGACTGAAGGTTCTCTCAGACTGATGCCTCTCTCACACTGAGGCGAACTACCACTGATGCAAACAAACACAGAGGCCTACAGGCACAACTGCTTATACTGAACTACAGAGTCTCCTTTCACACCAAAATTACACAAGAGTAGCTTTTTTACACACAGCAGCCTTCACACATGAGGCCTTCAACCTGAGGTTTCTCTCACCAAAGCTTCTCACACTGAGGTCATCACACACTGATGCCAATGAACACTGAGGCCTACCTCACACTGAGGCCTTCTCACTCTGGGGGCTTTCTCAGACTAATGCCTCTCTCACACTGAGGCGAACTACCACTGATGCAAACAAACACTGAGGCCTTCTAAGCTACAGGCACACCTGCTTATATTGAACTATAGAGTCTCTTCTCACACCAAACTTACAGAAGAGTACCTTTTTTACACACAGCAGCCTTCACACATGAGGCCTTCAACCTGAGGCTTCTCCCACTGAGGCTTCTCACACCGAGGCCTTCACACACTGAGGCCTACTAACACTGAGGCCTTTCTCCCACTGAGGACTTCTCACACTAGGGGCTTTCTCAGACTAATGCCTCTCTCACACTGAGGCAAACTACCACTGATGCAAACAAACACTGAAGCCTTCTAAGCTACAGGCACACCTGCTTATATTGAACTACAGAGTCTCTTCTCACACTGAACTTACACAAGAGTAGCTTTTTTACACACAGTAGTCTTCACACATGAGGCCTTCAATCTGAGGCTTCGCCCATCGAAGCTTCTCACACTGAGGCCTTCACACACTAAGGCCTGCTAACACTGAGGCCTACCTCACACTGAGGGCTCTCTCAGACTGATGCCTCTCTCACACTGAGGCGAACTACCACTGATGCAAACAAACACGGGAGGCCTACAGGCACACCTGCTTATATTGAACTACAGTCTCTTTTCACACAGAAGTAATACAAGAGCAAACTTTTTACACAGCAGCCTTCACACATCAGGCCTTCAACCTGAGGCTTCGCCCACCGAAGCTTCTCATACTGAGGCCACACACTGAGGCCTACTAACACTGATGCCTTTCTCCCACTAAGGCCTTCTCACACTGAGGGCTTTCTCACACAGGGGCTAAGCTACAGGCACACCTGCTTATATTGAAGTACAGAGTCTCTTCTCACACTGAACTAATGCAGCAGCCTTCACACATGAGGCCTTCAACCTGAGGTTTCTCCCACTGAAGCTTCTCACACCAGGCCTTCACACACTGAGGCCTACAGTATGAAGACTACCTCATACTGAGGCCTACTAACATACAAAGCCCTTCTCCCACAGAGACCTTTCTCACACAGGGGCATCTCTCACACTCTGGGCTACCTCAGACTGAGGGCTACTAAGCTACAGACACACCTGCTTATATTGCTTATATTGAACTACAGCGTCTCTTCTTACACTGAACTTATGCAGGAGCCTCTTCTCTTACACAGACTTCTCTTACACAGAGGCTTCTCTCACACTGAGGCCTTTCTCTCACTGAGGGCTTCTCACACTGAGGGCTTTCTCAGACCGATACCTCTCTCACACTGAGGCGAACTACCACTGATGCAAACAAACACTGAAGCCTTCTAAGCTACAGGCACACCTGCTTATATTGAACTACAGAGTCTCTTCTCACACCAAACTTACACAAAAGTGTCTTTTTTACACACAGCAGCCTTCACACATGAGGCCTTCAACCTGAGGCTTTGCCCACCGAACCTTCTCTCACTGAGGCCTACTAACAGTGAGGCCTACCTCACACTGAGGCCTTCTCATACTGAGGCCTACTAACATATGAGGCCCTTCTCCTACAGAGACCTTTCTCACACAGAGGCTTCTCTCACACTGAGGGCTACCTCAGACTGAGGATTACTAAGCTACAGGCACACCTGCTTATATTGAACTACAGAGTCTCTTCTCACACTGAACTAATACAGCAGCCTTCACACATGAGGCCTTCAACCTGAGGTTTCTCCCACTGAAGCTTCTCACACTGAGGCCTTCACAAACTGAGTCCTACTAACCCTGAGGGCTACGTCATACTGAAGCCTTCTCATACTGAGGCCTACTGACACACGAGGCCCTTCTCCTACAGAGACCTTTCTCACACTGAGGCTTCTCTCACACTGAGGGCTACCTCAGACTGAGGACTACTAAGCAACAGGCACATTTTTGATGTGAAAGTCCTTCCTCCACGTCCTCCTCCTTCTAAATCCCTGTTGTTTTGCTTCATGGAATCCACGAGACCAGTTCTCTTCCCCGAGGCGCTTGCAATTTAAAATGCACCGAATGAAGAGGAAGCCGTGTGCTATCACTGACAAGTCTCTGCTTTTCTTGACTTCTGCTTCCAGGCTGAGACAGCTGCCAACAGGATCTGCAAGGTGCTTGCCGTCAATCAAGAAAATGAGAAGCTGATGCAGGAGTACGAGAAGCTGGCCAGCGAGGTACCTTCAGCACTGTATTCGTTACCAGTTCCATTACTAAATTCCACTGAGTCCTACACTTAAAATCCGTGCTCATCACATTAGGTTGGGTTCAAGTGTAGGGCAGAGCATTCTTTCCGTATTTTAAGCGTGGCGGCCAGCATTCCTTTCAAACGTTTCAGGAAGTGGATTTTTGGGGAAAGATCAGGACGAATGGCCAGTTCAGTAATGTGATGGCATTCGTTGCTCTCAGGATTATAATGAGACCTTTCCCCCAATTTGTTGGAAGGGAAACTGTGGAAGGAGCCAACACATACTAATTAGGGAAAGTTTATTATGCCATGTCCCCAAGCTGTGAGTCCTGGAAGTTATAGTTTCCCAAGGTCAATACCCTTCTCTGGGTGCATTTACACTATGGAATGAATGCTCTTCGACCCCACTTCAAATACCATAGCTCCATACCATGCATTCCTGGGAATTATAGTTTCCCAAGGTCCATATCCTTCTCTGGGTGCATTTACACTATGGAACGAATGCTCTTCGACCCCATTTTAAATACAATACATTCCTGGAAGTTATAGTTTCCTAAGGTCCATACCCTTCTCTGGGTGCATTTACACTATGGAATTAATGCTCTTGCACCCCACTTTAAATACCATAGCTCCATACCATGCATTCCTGTGAGTTATAGTTTCCCAAGGTCCATACCCTTTTCTGGGTGCATCTGCCATTGGAGAATAAATGCAGCAGGAACCCATTTAAATGCCATGATGATGATGATGATGATGATGATGATGATGATGATGATGATGATGATGATGCCAGGTCTCCATGTTGTGCAGACCTGGGAGTCATAGTTTTCCAAGGTCCATACCCTTCTCTTGGTGCATTTACAGTATGGAATGAAAGACCTTGCACCCCACTTTAAATGCCATGGCTGCATGTGATGGAGTCCTAATGGAAGTTATAGTTTCCCAAGGTCCATATCCCTCTCTGGGTGCATCTGCCATTGGAGAATAAATGCAGCAGGGACCCATTTAGAATGCTGTTGTTGTTGTTGTTGTTCTGTTGTTGTTGTTTTGTTGTTGTTGTTGTTGTTGTTAATAATATGCCAGGTCTCCATGCTGTGCAATCCTGGGAGTCATAATTTTCCAAAGTCCATACCCTTCTCTGTGTGCATTTACACTAGGGAACGAATACCCTTGCACCCCACTTTAAATGCCATGCCTCCATGCGATGGGTTCCTCCTGGGAGTTATAGTTTCCCAAGACCCATACCCTTCTCTGGGTGCATCTGCACTGTGGAATGAATGCAGTTGGACCTTACTTTTAATGCCATGTCTCCATGAGATGGGGTCCTCCTGGGAGTTATAGTTTCCCAAGGCCCATACCCCTCTCTGGGCGAATCCACACTGTGGAATGAATGCAGTTGGGCCTTACTTTAAATGCCATGTATCCATTTGATGGTCTTGGGAATTGCAGTTTCCCAAGGTCCATGAACCTTCTCTGGGTGCATCTACACTGTGAAATGAATGCAGTTGGACTTTACTTGAAATGCCATAGCTCCATGCTATGTAGTTATAGTTACAGTTATAGTTTCCCAAGGTCCACACCGTCCTCTGTGGGGCAGCCCGTCCACTATACTGGTGGGGATGGTGGGCGGGCTCAAATCACTACAGTGTGATGGCAAACCAACTGAAAGAATACTGAGTACAACTGATAGATTTAGCAGTGTGATGAAAGCAGGGAATTCATCCGTTCCATTTCAACACGGAGTCTGACTGAGCTCTACTCTTCCAAACACTTCCCTGCTTCAATGTGATGAAGTCCTTAGAAAACATTTGGAGGGAATGCCTTCTACAGGCAACAAAAATGGTCCTAGAGACCATCCGTGTGTCATATTGATCCCTCTGCCCCAAAGGTGTCCTTGGTGGATCTTAGATCTCAAACGGGTTGGAGACTGTGAGCTCTACCTTGGTGGGAAATTAAGTACACACTGTGTTTCACCCCACTTTGAAAGCTCCTTGAATGGATCCGCCGCACCATCCCCTGGCTGGAGAACCGCGTGCCCGAGAAGACCATGAGCGCCATGCAGCGCAAGCTGGAGGACTTCCGGGACTACCGCCGCGTCCACAAGCCCCCTCGGGTCCAGGAGAAATGCCAGCTCGAGATCAACTTCAACACCCTGCAGACCAAGCTGCGGCTCAGCAACCGGCCCGCCTTCATGCCTTCTGAGGGAAAGATGGTCTCCGTAAGTTGTGGCACCGGGCAGGGTGGGAATGGGGGACCCCACAAGGCAGGGGTGGGCTGTGTGGGACTTTTCAGTAGGGTGAAAGATCCAGCTAGTGAGCCTTCCAACAGATGTGTCAAATCCAGTGGAAGAGAGTCAAACGTCAGGGTCCTGGCTTGATTGGAACACATATTTTTGAGCATATTTTGACATATATAGCCAGGCTCTAACACAGCTGGTTAATCACCAGCAGCAAAAGAGAGTTTACCATCCTCTAAGGTGATCTCAAATCCCAGGTCAGGGTGAGCACCTGACCATCAGCCCAGCTCACTGTCCACCTAAGCAGTTTGAAAACAACTGTGAGCTGTGAGCAGAGAGCAGTTAAAAGGGGATCCTAAAGAGCCGGGCTTTAGCACAGCTGGTTAATCACCAGCAGCAAAAGAGAGTTTACCATCCTCTAAAGTTATCTCAAAGCCTGGGTCAGGGTGAGCACCTGATCATCAGCCCAGCTCACGATGCATCCAAGCAGTTCGAAAACAGGTGTGAGCTGTGAGTAGAGAGCAGTTTAAAGGGGATCCCAAAGAGACGGACTTTAGCACAGCTGGTTAATCACCAGCAGCAAAAGAGAGTTCACCATCCTCTAAGGTTATCTCAAAGCCTGGGTCAGGGTGAGCACCTGACCATCAGCCCAGCTCACGGTGCATCAAAGCAGTTTGAAAACAGCTGTGAGTTGTGAGTAGAGAGTAGTTTAAAGGGGATCCCAAAGAGCCGGGCTTTAGCACAGCTGGTTAATCACCAGCAGCAAAGGAGAGTTTACCATCCTCTAAGGTTATCTGTAATCCACTATAGTTTAAAGGGGATTCCAAAGAGCTGGGCTTTAGCACAGTTGGTTAATCACCACCAGCAATAGATCTTTACCAATTGAAAGGCTGGCAGGTCAAAGCCCTGGTTGTGGTGAGCACCCAACCGTCTGTCCATCAAACAGTTTGAAAACAACTGTGATCTGTGAGTAGAGAGTAGTTTAAAGAGGATCCCAAAGAGCTGGGCTTTAGCACAGCTGGTTAGTCACCTGCAGTAATAGATCTTTGCCAGGCAAAAAGTTGGCAGTTCAAAGCCTAGGTCAAGGTGAGCACCCGACCTTCAGCCCAGCTCACTGTCCACCTAAGCAGTTTGAAAATGGCTGTGAGCTGTTTGTAGAGAGCGGTTTAAAGGCGATCCCAAAGAGCCGGGCTTTAGCACAGCTGGTTAATCACCAGCAGCAAAAGAGAGTTTGCCGTCCTCTAATGTTATCTATAATCTACTATAGTTTAAAGGGAATCCCAAAGAACTGGGCTTTAGCACAGCTGGTTAATCACAAGCAGCAATAGATGTTTACCAATCGAAACGTTGCCAATTCAAAGCCCAGGTTGTGGTGAGCACCCAACCATCAACCCAGCTCACTGTGCATCTAAGCAGTTTGAAAACAGCTGTGAGTAGGGAGTACTTTATAGGGGATCCCAAAGACCTGGGCTTCAGTACAGCTGGTTAATCACCAGCAGTAATAGATCTTTACCAATTGAAAGGTTGGCAGTTCAAAGCCCTGGTTGTGGTGAGCACCCGACTGTCAGCCCAGCTCACTGACCACCTAAGCAGTTCGAAAACAGTTGTGAGCTGTGAGTAGAGAGTAGTTTAAAGGGGATCCCAAAGAGCCGGGCTTTAGCACAGCTGGTTAATCACCAGCAGCAATAGATCTTTACCAATCGAAAGGCTGACAGTTCAAACCCCAGGTCAGGGTGAGCACCCGACTGTCAACCCAGCTCACTGTCCATCTAAGCAGTTCAAAAACAGCTGTGAGCTGTGAGTTGAGAGCAGTTAAAAGGAGATCCCAAAGAGCCGAGCTTTAGCACAGCTGGTTAATCACCAGCAACAAAACAGAGTTCACCATCCTCTAAGATTATCTATAATCCCCTATAGTTTAAAGGCGATCCCAAAGAGCACAGCTGGTTAATCACCCTCAAAACAGAACAAATTAATTATCTGGTCTGGGATTAACCATCACATATTGTGAATTGGTAGAGCAGTCTTTCCTGGGTTTTGGGCCTAACTGAGTGGCAGGCATGGCCTGATCCGGCTCAATTGTGGGTGGGCTTGTGTGTCCGCAGGATATTGCCAATGCCTGGAAGGGTCTGGAACAAGTGGAGAAAGGCTATGAAGAATGGCTGCTGACCGAGATCCGGCGCCTGGAGCGCTTGGACCACCTGGCAGAGAAGTTCAAGCAGAAAGCCACTCTGCACGAGAACTGGACCCGAGGTACCACTCCCTGCCGCCTTACCTCTGTGCCCATTAACTATCAATTCTAGTCGTCATTGTCCTTTGTCTGTCTGCCAGATTACCCAAAGGCCTGGTCCCATAGCCATGTTTTTAGTTTCCTTCTAAAAGAGAGGAGGAATGTCGATGACCTAATTTCCCCGGGAAGTGAATTCCACAGGCGAGGGGCCACCACCGAGAAGGCCCTGTCCTCATCCCCACCAATCTCACTTGTGATAGAGGTGGGGCCGAGAGCAGGGCCTCCCCAGAGGATCTTAAACTCCGAGGCGGGACGTAGAAGGAGATGCGTTCGGACAGATACGCTGGGCCGGAACCGTATAGGGTTTTGTAGGTCAAAACCAGCACTTTGAATTGTGCTTGGAACTGGATCGGCAGCCAGTGGAGCTGACATAACAGATTTGAATCCAGGGAGAGGGCAGATGAGCACCCTCTATCAGCTCCAGCTCCTCATGCGGGGACATGAGAGAAGCCTCCCACGAGGATGATAAAAAATCAAAACATCCGGGCATCCTCTGGGCAACGTTCTTGCAGATGACCAATTCTCTCACACCAGAAGTGACTTGCAGTTTCTCAAGTTGCTCCTTACATGACAAATAATAATAATAATAATAATAATAATAATAATAATAATAATAATAAATTTTGTGTGTGTGTGTGCACGCGTGTATATATATATTTACAGCTTTTATATTCTGCCCTTCTCACCCCGCAGGGGACTCGGGCGGATTACAGTGTACACATATATGGCAAACATTCAATGCCAATTTTGACATACAAACATATACAGACATAGACAGAGGCTATTTAACTTTTTCTGGCCGCCAGGGGAGCTGTCGCTTTCATCGTCCATCTGCGACACTGATGAAGCACTTCCGCATTCCCCGCATGCTTCCCCGCTGGAATGCTTTGCTGGAGTCTTCTTTATGGCCTCATAAATCATTTAATTTAGCCTCCCCACACTTTAAGGTGGTACCTAATTTTCCTACTTGACAGATGCAACTGTCTTTCGGGTTGCAAAGGTCGACAACAGGCTACACACAATTGGTTGGAAACCCACTCCAACCCGGGCTGGCTTCGAACTCATGACCTTTTGGTCAGAGTGATCTTAATGCAGCTGACACTCAGCCAGCTGCGCCACAATCCCGGTATATATATCTTGTAAGTCGCTGAGAAGGATGGCATATAAATGTCATAAATAAATAAAATACTAAATAGTCCACCTCTAATCCCTTTTGTCACAGGAAAGGAGGAAATGTTGACACAGAAGGACTACGAGTCGGCATCCCTTTACGAAATCCGGGCACTGATGCGCAAGCACGAGGCCTTTGAGAGCGACCTGGCGGCCCATCAGGATCGGGTGGAGCAGATTGCGGCCATCGCGCAGGAACTCAAGTGGGTGCCAGGGAGACGATGGCATCCCCTTTTCTTCAGACAGGGAGGAAAGAGCTTAATGTTAGGAATCTCCCCAATTTGAAGCATCTCGGAAGCTGGAGGGTCAAAGACCCTTTTGGGGGGGATTGCCCTCTCCTACTTGTGCAGTGGGTTAAATTACTGAGCTGCCTCTGACTTTAAACACCACACGTTGAATAGGAAAACAATCCTTTTATTGAAGATAATTAAAAAGCAGCAAAGTAAAAAAGCACTTTAAAGAAATAGGTAAATCCAATTAGGTAAGAAGATAAGCAAAAAAAATACTAAAGTGTAATTGACACACAAGGAGAGAGAGATCTCAAAGCACACAGCGCATCCTCTCCATACTAAAGTTGCTGACCAAAAGGTCAGCGGTTCGAATCCGGAGAACAGGACGAGCTCCTGCTGTTAGCCCCAGCTTCTGCCAACCTAGCAGTTCAAAAACATGCAAAGGAGAGTAGATCAATAGGTACCGGTAGTGTTGCTGCATGCAGTCATGCCGACCACATGACCTTGGAGGTGTCTACGGACAACGCCGGCTCTTCGGCTTAGAAATGAAGATGAGCACCACCACCCCAGTGTCGGACACGACTAGACTTAATGTCAGGGGAAAACCTTTGCCATTAGCGTAATCTTTCTCACCTCTTTGTTGCAGTGAGCTAGACTATCACGACGCAGCGTCTGTGAACTCCCGCTGCCAGGCCATCTGCGACCAGTGGGATACCCTGGGGACCCTCACCCAGAAGAGAAGAGACTCCCTGGAGGTGAGACAGCCTTATTATTATTATTATTATTATTATTATTATTATTATTATTTATACTCCACCTTGTATCTAAGATTTCAGGGCAGCTGAGCATCAAACAGCATTAAAGCAGTGGATTGTTGTAGGTTTTTTCGGGCTATTTGGCCATGTTCCAGAAGCATTCTCTCCTGATGTTTCGCCTGCATCTATGGTAAGCATCCTCAGAGGTTGTGAGGATGGTTGCCATAGATGCAGGCGAAACGTCAGGAGAGAATGCCTCTAGAACATGGCCATATAGCCCGAAAAACCTACAACCCAATAACTTGGAATCCTTTTAAGCAGAAGAAACCTTTTAGGATTATTAAATCCTAAAAGGACATGCAGAGTCAAGAACAGGGTCTGAGCTACTCTAACACCCATCTCTTCTAAGGTTTCAAAGAGAGGGAAAAGCACCAAACACTACATCTCTCCTGACACACAAGCAGAGAGAGATCTCAAAGCACACAGCACGTACTAATGTTGCACTCCAGGACAGGAAAAGCCCTCTGACTTTAAACACCACATGTTTAATAGGAAACAATCCTTTTATTGAAGATAATCAAAAAGCAGCAAAGTAAAAAGCACTTGAAAGAAATAGGTAAATCCAATTAGGTAAGAAGATAAGCAAAAAAAATACTAAAGTGTAATTGACACACAATGAGAGAGAGATCTCAAAGCACACAGCACATGCTCTCCATACTAAAGTGTAATTGACAGACGAGCAGAGAGAGATCTCAAAGCACACCGCACATCCTCTCCATACTAAAGGGTAATGGACACACAAGGAGAGAGAGATCTCAAAGCACACAACACATACTAATGTTGCACTCCAGGACAGGAAAAGCCCTCTGACTTTAAACACCACACGTTGAATAGGAAAACAATCCTTTTATTGAGGATAATTAAAAAGCAGCAAAGTAAAAAGCACTTTAAAGAAACAGGTAAATCCAATTAGGTAAGAAGATAAGCAAAAAAAATGCTAAAGTGTAATTGACACACAAGCAGAAAGAGATCTCAAAGCACACAGCACATCCTCTCCATACTAAAGTGTAATTAACACACAAGCAGAGAGAGATCTCAAAGCACACAACATATACCAATGTTGCACTCCAGGACAGGAAAAGTCCTCTGACTTAAAAAACCACATGTTGAATAGGAAAACAATCCTTTTATTGAAGATAATTAAAAAGCAGCAAAGTAAAAAAGCGCTTTAAAGAAATAGGTAAATCCAATTAGGTAAGAAGATAAGCAAAAAAAAATACTAAAGTGTAATTAACACACAAGGAGAGAGAGATCTCAAAGCACACAGCACATCCTCTCCATACTAAAATGTAATTGACACACAAGCAGAGAGAGATCTCAAAGCACACAACACATACTAATGTTGCACTACGGGACAGGAAAACCCCTCTCACTTTAAACACCACATGTTGAATAGGAAAACAATCCTTTTATTGAAGATAATTAAAAAGCAGCAAAGTAAAAAGCACTTTAAAGAAATAGGTAAATCCAATTAGGTAAGAAGATAAGAAAAAAAAATACTAAAGTGTAATTGACACACAATGAGAGAGAGATCTCAAAGCACACACCACATGCTCTCCATACTGAAGTGTAATTGACACATGAGCAGAGAGAGATCTCAAAGCACACAGCACATGCTCTCCATACTAAAGTGTAATTGACACACAAGCAGAGAGAGATCTCAAAGCACACAACACATACTAATGTTGCACTCCAGGACAGGAAAAGCCCTCTGACTTTAAACACCACACGTTGAATAGGAAAACAATCCTTTTATTGAAGATAATTAAAAAGCAGCAAAGTAAAAAAGCAGTTTAAAGAAATAGGTAAATCCAATTAGGTAAGAAGATAAGCAAAAATACTAAAGTGTAATTGACACACAAGCAGAGAGAGATCTCAAAGCACACAGCACATACTAATGTTGTACTCCAGGACAGGAAAAGTCCTCTGACTTTAAACACCACACGTTGAATAGGAAAACAATCCTTTTATTGAATATAATTAAAAAGCAGCAAAGTAAAAAGCACTTTAAAGAAATAGGTAAATCCAATTAGGTAAGAAGATAAGCAAAAAAAATACTAAAGTGTAATTGACACACAAAGAGAGAGAGAGAGATCTCAAAGCACACAGCACATCTTCTCCATACTAAAGTGTAATTGACACACAAGCAGAGAGAGATCTCAAAGCACACAACACATACTAATGTTGAACTCCAGCAGCAAAGTAAAAAAGCACTTTAAAGAAATAGGTAAATCCAATTAGGTAAGAAGATAAGCAGGAACAAATTAGTCCAGGGTAGAGTTCAGAAAAATCCAGAAAAACAGGAAACATTAGTCCAAGGCTTAGATATGCAATCATAAAATCCAACGATCCAAATCCATGAAACCAGAAGTATTTCAATATGAATCTTCCAAGCAAGACTTCCATGAAACAAGGATGAGAACTTAAGCTGATTCTAAACAATGCTTCATTTTCCTAGTTCCAACAGACCTCACTACCTCTGAGGATGCTTGCCATAGATGCAGGCGAAACGTCAGGAGAAAATGCCTCTAGAACATGGCCATATAGCCCGAAAAAACCTACAACAACCCAATGCTTCATCTGACTACATATCCTAAACTTGGGACTTTTATCTCCTCGTTAGCTATGTCTCTAGTGCTCAGAAAGTGGTTTCGTTTTAGCTGAGAATTTGTTATCTTTTTTCTCTTGGAGCCTGGCAGAACGCCAAAGCCACTGTTCGGCTCTCCCGTTTTGACTGATCTCCTTTCATCTATCTATTTGCTCATTAATTTCTGCAGCTGGGCCAGGTGCCAAGCTATTTTCATGTTCTGTCTCATGGGAACTCTCTGGTAACAATTCAGAAAGCTCACCATCATCCCCACACCCCTCAGGGACATTCTCATGGGAAACGACAGGGATCTCCTAGTCATTCTCTGCATCAATATCACTGCCATCTTGAAACTCATCTTGAACCTCATTGACATCCCTCCTCACATCCAAAGCACCCTGATCCTGAAACACAATCACAGGCTGAGCTCCAACGACTAAAGTGAAAGAAGGCAGAAGTCACTAAACTGTTCCTCATTGAGGACTTGAGACTTGGGCAATGTTGGGTTGAGTTCCAACACAAACAGACTTTCCTCGGCCTGATTTCTTGCCCTTCCTTTCCCCTGCCCAGCGGGTAGAGAAGCTGTTGGAGACCATTGACCAGCTGTATCTGGAGTTTGCCAAGAGGGCCGCCCCCTTCAACAACTGGATGGACGGAGCCATTGAAGACCTGCAGGACATGTTCATTGTGCACAGCATTGAGGAAATCCAGGTGAGTGTGCCACGTAAACCTGGGGAATCACATTACCCTAGGCAGGGCCGTAGCCAGAAAAAAAATTCGGGAGGGGTTGAAATTTTCGGGGGGGGGGGGGGGTTGAAAATTTCGCAGGGGGGGGTTGAAACCTGCCTCCTAGCTCACGCTGAAGCAAAGAGCACAGCAGGGGGCAGAGCAGCCTTCAATAGCCTGCAGCTCCGCCCTGTCAACCACCTCCACCAAGTCTGGCCTCCTTAATGAGAGCATTCAACATCCCCCCCCCCCCAACTTGGTTGCTTCACTACTCTTCTGTCGTGCGCTGGGCCGGTAAATAATTGTCTTTAGAACAGGACGTGCAACCTTTGCCCAGCGGGAAGCCAGGGGGCCCAAGGAGAAGTTCTCAGAGGTTTCCACCACAAACAGTCTTTAGATGGCTTGAGAAGTACAACAAAGTCTTTTATTAATGAACAATCAAACAGAAACTTCTCTTGTCTTCAGTAAAGTTAAGCAAATGATTCCAAGCTTTTAGGCAACTGGTGATTTCCTAATCTTGCCCACGAAGGACAGGCAACTGTCTTCAATAACTTCTTCTTTAAAGGAAAATCCCCTTTGTAACTTCTCCCAGGCTGACTGTAATCTAACCCTTACTGATGTGGGCTCCGCTACCGGGTTGAACTGCATCTCGAACGCCGAGTGGACCTACCAGCAAGGCAGTAGATGTTCTCCAGCTGGAGTACTTTAAAGGAAAATCCCAGGCTGACTGTAATCTAACCCTTACTGATGTGGGCTCCGCTACCGGGTCGAACTGCGTCTTGAACGCCGAGTGGACCTACCAGCAAGGCAGTAGATGTTCTCCAGCTGGAGTTCTTTGGTCTTTAGGGCTGTTTTCCTGGAAATTCTTTGGAGACTCTTAAGACCTTTCTCTCCCGGAAGGTCTTAAGGGTTGAAACTTTTGTACAGGGGAAGCTTGCACACATCCTATACATAAGCTTACCTTGCTGAGACTAACTAAAAATGGCTCCCTTCCCTTCCCAATTGCCCTGAGCAAGGGGCGGGACCAAAACTCAACAATGATGGACAGGTGACTTGCCCTATGACTGCAACCAAAGAAGCCACCTATGTGCAGATTCCCTGAAACCTAGGACTGCAAGCAAACATTTAATACAAAGCAAATAAAGTTGGAGCTCCTGGTACAGCTGTACCAGAACAACTACATTGGCTATTGCTGCAAGTAATGACAGTGTGAATAAATTGCTAATATTTGCTTGAGATACTGCTTGCAGTTCTGGAGGGACTCTCGGTTTTTTGTATCTCATAGACTTAGCATGGGGATTTGGTTAACCAGTTAAAAATCATGAGCAAACCAGGTTTTTTAAAAAAATCTGAAACATTTCGGGGGGGGGAGGGTTGAACCCCTAACCCCCCCCCCCCCTCACTACAGGCCTGACCCTAGGTAATTTTCAACAGTAAGCAAACAGTATTTTGGCATGCCCCCCCCCCAACCAATCATTGATATAGAGCAGGAACGAGAGGGGCTAAGCGAGGCTCAAGGGTCCGGCCCCTTTGGGAAGAGGATCGCCCGGTAGTGAGGCAAGGAAGCCGAGGCTCCCCCCGGACTGCTAGGGCTGTTGTGAGCCGAGGGGGCGCTCCTCAAGTGGCAGTCGAGGGGCATTTACAGAGGCGCCTCTGCGCCCTTGGCAAAAAAAAGTGTACCGCAACCGCTTACTATGCGTAATGGACGAGCCGCCCCTGCAGCTAATCTTACCGAGGCAAAGGCTTTCCTTTTCTGGGGGTGAAAAGAAGCAAGGGAGCGGAGGGATGATTTATTGTTGCCACTAATTTGAAAGGAACCAGTATTCAGGAGATTTTACCCCAGTTCCCAATTTTAAAAAGAACTGGCCGATTTGCAATGGAGGTTGCCGATTAGGAACCAAATTTACCATCAAGTTGGAAGGGAGGCTGTTCAATTGCACCTCCTCCTTTATTAAGAAAGTAATAACTTAGTAGTAATTACACTGTATATACTGTAGCGTGACTGGAGAGAAGAATGTAGATTTATTTGGTTACTTTTCCCTGCATTTCTGCCACCACGTGAGGTAAGTTGTAATATTGTGAGAAATGACACTTTGGACACAGAATAGACGGAGCTGAGGCAATCTTCAAATAAAAGTTAACAATTTTATTAAGTATACAGCGTGTGGTTGCAAGACGTAACTTTTCCTTGTTGCACTTGGAATAATACTTGTAACTTTAACAGTTCATTCTTTCAAGTAACACAGTATCTTTCTGACATAGAGCACTTGTTTCAGACAAAGTTTCAATACAGGGATGTTTCCCTTATTTGATCCTCCCTAGATCAAATACTAAGTAAACTATTATTTAGCCTCTCCTTAGACTAAAAGAATACCAGCTAGGTTTCACCATTCGGCTGCACTAGCCTGAGAAACTTCCAATAGCCAAATCCAGCTTTTCAAAGCCTCAAAGCTTTGCTTCACAAGTCACTCCACCACCTTTTCTTTCCTTCTCTCCCAACTCCTAACTCCTGACTCCTCTGAACCTAACTCCTGACTCCTCTGAACCTAACTCCTGACTCCTCTCAACCTAAACCCTGACTGAACATTAACTGTCATTTTTTAAACTCTCCCCTCTAAGCTCCTCCCACGTCCCTCTCTCCTGCATCGGTCTCCATGGCAACGCACATGGAGGACTCCTCTGTCTTAGGCCGCTCCAGCATTACTGCAGCCAATCTAAACACAAGTACAGTTAAAATCATACAATTTATAATCAACTCCTGTACAGGGGGTCTTGCACTTTCGGGGTTCTAGGTTCTGCTTTCCTCTACAGCAGGGGGCTGGGCTAAATGGCCTTTGGGATCCCTTTCCAACTCTTCCCTGATTCTAAGGCTGCGAATACCGCTCCCTCTCCTTCCCAGAGCCTGATCACAGCCCATGAGCAGTTCAAAGCTACGCTGCCTGAGGCCGACAAGGAGCGCATGGCCATCCTCGGCATCCAGAATGAGATCCAGAAGATTGCGCAGACTTACGGCATCAAGCTGTCAGGCATCAACCCCTACACCAGCCTCTCCCACCTCGACATCGCCAACAAGTGGGATACGGTGAGAAAAAACTTTTTCACCTAACAATGCCTTTTGTTAGGACAACTAACCTGTTCTCTAGTTCTCCAGAACTTTTCATCAGACCAGGTGGAACAGGGAAAGGGCCTGGGCAAAGTTTCTAACTTGGGGGTGGCATGCTGGCACTCCCTGCAAAGAGGACTGGCTGCCCAGTGATGGATGGATGGAAGGAAGGAAGGAAAGAGAAAGAAGGAAGGACAAAAAAGAGGAAGGGAAGAGAAGGAAGGAAGGACAAAAAGGAGGAAGGGAAGGATGGAAGGAGAAAGAGGGAGCGAATAAAGGAAAGAGAAAAGAGGGAAGGAAGGAAAGACAAAAAGGAGGGAAGGACGAAAGGGTGAAAGGGAAGGATGGAAGGAAGGGAAGGATGAAGGAAGGAAGAGGGAAGGAAAAGGAAGGAAGGAAGGAAGGAAGGAAGGAAGGAAGGAAGGAAGGAAGGAAGGAGGGAAGGAATTGAGGAGAGAGGGAGGGAAGGAAGGAAGATAGATTACAAAAATAGATTACACTATGGAAGGGAAGGATGGAAGGAGAAAGAGGAGAGAGGGAGGAAAGAGGGAAAGGAAGAGAAAAGGAAGGAAAGACAAAAGGGAGGGAAGGATGAAATGGTGGAAGGGAAGGATGGATGGAAGGAAGGTCATGAGGAAGGAAGGACAAAAGGGAGGAAGGGAAGAATGGAAGGAGAAAGAGGGAGAGAGGGTAGGAAAGAGGAAAGAGGGAAGGAAGGAAGGACAAAAAGGAGGAAGGAAGTGAAGGTAAAGAGGAAGGAAAGAGATAGATAAGGAAAGACAAAAGGGAGGGAACAATGAAAGGGTAGAAGGGAAGGATGGAAGTAAGGGAAAGATAAAGGAAATTGAGAAAGAAAGACAAAAGGGAAGGAAGGAAGGAAGGAAGGAAGGAAGGAAAGAAGGAAGGAAGGAAGGAAAGAAGGAAGGAAGGAAGGAGAAAGAGGGAAAGAAGGAAGCAGGGAGGAAAGAGAGAAGGAAGGAAGGACAAAAGGGAGGGAAGGATGAAAGGGTGGAAGGGAAGGATGGATGGAAGGAAGATCATGAGGAAGGAAAGAGAGAAGGAAGGAAGGACAAAAGGGAAGAAAGGAGAAAAAGGGAGGGAAGAGGGAAGAAAGGAAAGACAAAAAGGAGGAAGGGAAGGATGGAAGGAGAAAGAGGAAGGGAAGGGAGGGAGGTAAAGAGGAAGGAAAGATAAATAAGGAAAGACAAAAGGGAAGAACGAAAGGGTGGAAGGGAAGGATGGAAAGAAAGGAAAGATAAAGGAAAGAGAGAAGGAAGGAAAGACAAAAGGGAAGGAAGGAAGGAAGGAAGGAAGGAAGGAAGGAAGGAAGGAAGGAAGGAAGGAAGGGAAGAGGGAAGCAGGGAGGAAAGAGAGAAGGAAGGACGAAAGGGTAGAAGGGAAGGATGGAAGGAGAAAGAGGGAGAGAGGGGGAAGGAGGAAGGAAAGAGAGAAGGAAGGAAAGACAAAAGGGGGGAAGGAAGGAAGGGTGAAAGGGAAGGATATATAGAAGGAAGGTCATGAGGAAGGAAAGAGAGAAGGAAGGAAGGATGAAAGGGAAGGAAGGAGTAAAAGGGAGAGAGGGAGAGAGGAAATTGGGAAGGAAAGACAAAAGGGAAGGATGGAAGAAAGGAAGGAAGGGAACGAGGAAGGAAGCAGAAGAAAGGAAGAGAAGGATGGAAGGAAAGAAGGGAAGTAAGAAGGAAGTAAGGGAAGAATAAAAGAGAGAATGAAGGAAATACAAAAGGGAAGGAAAGAAGGAAAGAGAAAGAGGAAGAGAGGGAGGAAAAATGGACGGAAGAAAGGACAAAGGGATGGAAAGGAATGTTGGGAGGGAGAAAGAGGGGAAGAAAGGAAGACGGAAGGAAAGACAAAAGGGAAGGAAGAAAGGAGAAAGGGAGAGAGGGAAGGAAGAAAGGAAGGAGAAAGGGGGGAGGAGAAAGAAGCAAACAGAGAAGGAAGGAGGGATAAGATGGTGAGAGAGAGGAGGGTCTGAAAAAAAGAGCCCAAGGGGCCGTATCTGGTCCGCGGGCCTGGGTTTGCCCGTACCTGGTCTAGGTTGTCTTCTGTTTGTGTGTGCCATCATATCTTTCTAACCTGTTTTAAGTTTTTGGGGAATGGTTGAAATATCAGTAAAAACAATACTGAGGCCACAGCCTGTTTATTTTGGTGGTTGTAGTTGTGAGTGAAGGATGTGATTCTTCCTCTCCTTCCATAACCAAGCCCTGCGCTCGTGCTCCGTGTTTGGACCTTCTCCATCCTTTGTGCCCTCTCTCCAGGTGAAGCAACTGGTGCCACACCGTGATCAGACCCTGCAGGAAGAGCTGGCCAGACAGCAAGCCAACGAGCGCCTGAGACGCCAATTCGCTGCCCAGGCCAACATCATCGGGCCCTGGGTCCAGACTAAGATGGAGGTAAGAGGCACCCACCCCCTCCTTCGAAATGTGCAGAGGAAGGGTCTATTGATGCCATTTAATGACCAAGACAAACATATCCAACCCAGAACCCACCCTAGGAGCCAAAAGGACCAGACTCAGGGCTGTTGTACCATTTCAAGAGACGATTTGGCTGATTAGAAAAATCAGTGCAATTCTAAAGTATTGGAACACAAAGTGCAAGGTCAGATGTCTTCACTGTGTTTGGTTGTGATCCCCAGGTTGTGCCAGTCAGTTTTCCTATGAAATTCTTTCTACTACCCACTTTTTGCTTGATGTTCAGGCGGTGCTTCGTATAAGTCAGAGCACGGTGCAGAGTGACTCCCAGGTATTTGGGTGCGCTGCAATGCTCCAGTGGGATTCCTTAACCAGGTCATCCTCAGAGCTCGGGATGCTTGTCTGTTCTTAAGATGGAAAGCACATGTCTGGGTTGTAGATGGATGAGGAATCAGCTAGTTTTCCTGTAATAGGCAGCAAGAGCACCTAAAGTTTCAAAGAGCTTCTGTTCAACCATTTCAAAGCTCCCTGCTTGAGCAGTGATGGCACAATCGTCAGCATAGATAACTATTATTATTATTATTATTATTATTATTATTATTAAGAAGGACCTAGAGATTCCTTGAGATGTCTCTGATTAAAAAGATAACATGAAAGTGGAGGGTTGACTGTAAAGGAATTCAGAGTTGAAGGTTTGGTGTAGAATAGAGACTTGAACTCAAACTAAACTAATTCTTAGCATTGGCCTCTGTGCTGGGAATCCCTTTTTAAAACTATTATAAGGGTTAGAAGTGTGCAAAGCAGCTCAAATCCGATTAGTAATTCATTTCAGAAATTCTGAAGGTCCCTGCTTCATTTTGTAAACATTCGGAGAGGGTCCCTCAGGGGTCATCCTCAGAGCTCGAAATGCTTGTCTGTTCTTAAGGTGAAAAGCACACATCTGCTTCTTAGATGGATTAGGAATCAGCTGATTTTCCCTGTCATAGGCAGTAAGAGCACCTAAAGTTTCTAAGAGCTTCTGTTCAACCATTTCAACGCTTCCTGCTTGAGCGGTGATGGCACTATCGTCAGCATAGATGAAACTCTCTGTCCCTTCTGGTAGTGGCTGATCATTTGTGTAAATGTTAAACATTGATGGAGCAAGCACGCTCCGTGAGGCAGGCCGTTCTTCTGTTTCCGCCATCTGCTTCTCTGGCCTTGGAACTCAACAAAAAAGCTGCCGTTTTGTAGCAGATTTCCTATGAAGCGGGTGAGGTGGTCGTCCTTTGAGATATTATAAAATTTTCTCAGGAGAAGATGATGACTCACGGTGGGGGAGTGTCGCAGTCTTCCCACCAGATTACTACAGTTTTTCTCAGGAGAAGACAATGATTGATAGTGCCATAAGCTGCTGACAGGTCTATGAAGATGGCTCCTGTGATCTGCTGCCTTTCAAAGCCATCTTCTATGTGCTGAGTCAGGTTCAGCACTTGCGATGTGCAGCTTTTGCCTTTCCTGAAGACAGCTTGCTGTGGAATCAGACAGGGGTCCATAATTTTATGCAAAATAATTCTCTCCAGATTTTTGTAAAGATCAGTGAAATTATCCTCTAACCAACCCATTATTTCTTTTTAAAATATCAAAATGAGGAATGATTTCTTTGTGACTTCGCAGTCTATTTGGCTTAGCTGTGACAGAGCATTATCTCAATTATAAGCGGGGAGTATAAGGATATTCTTGGAACAACCAAGTAGTAGAGAGAGGATTTTAAATAATTTGAATTGATTAGACAGGGCAAGATATAGAAATAATCCCTTCTCCACTTGGGGGGAACTATACCAGTCGGTTGCCATCAATTATAAGCGACTTAGCAGGGAAAGGAACAGAGGATTTTAAAATAGTGAAAGAGGCAACTGGGAAATCTTGAAACTGTTTCTTCAATTGTTTTCACTGCCACCTTTTTCTTGTTTGGTATTCAGACTGAGTTGTATGTGGAGAGTATACTTAGTAACACCCTCTTGTGTTACTAAGTGCTTGTAGTGTTTGTTTTCTTTAGAGGGTTTAAATCACAATGATGTTTACCCCGAGGCTGTTATAAAGTGTTAACAATAACAAAACATTTATTTAACAGGCTTAAACTTCTTCTGGTACAAATGTGTAGTGGTTTCAGTAAGTTACTGGTACATAAGCTTCTGGTTACTTTTGATGTACAATTCTTAGATGAGTTCTAGGTTCAAATCTTGATGTTAACAAAACAGGAGATTATCTCAAGAAATTAATCGCTGATAATAATTCCAAACAAATTTCCCCCTTTCTGGAACCTAGCCAATAGCCTTTCTCAGGGACAAAGAACAGACCACAAACAAGGTCTTGTTCCACTATCTGTGTTCCTAGCTAATTTATCTAACTCTTGAATACCACAAAAGATTAACCCAGCTCTCCTATCTAACACCAACCAACTGTTATCACCAACTGACAAACTCCCAATGGACAAATTCCAACTGCCAACTCAAGCCTCAGTTCAAAAGGTACATTTTTTCCTTTTTGAACACTAGGCTCTGCCCCCTATTTTCTAACTAATCCTGGCCATCTAATCTCTGCTTCCTGGATTAGGACATGCCCCCTCTAGAAAACCCTTAACTAAGATGGCGTCTCCTTGTTTCTCTATCCTAAGATGGCCGCCAGGGCTTCGTCAGGCCCACTCTCTAGCTGCTTAAGGTAAGGGGTTCTTTACAAGGAGCCTGGGTTAACAGCTGCTTCCCCTCTGACTTCCCTTGGTAGGAGATCGGCCACATCTCCGTGGACATCAGCGGGTCCCTCGAGGACCAGATGAACCACCTGAAACAACACGAGCAGAACATTATCAACTACAAGTCCAACATCGACAAGCTGGAAGGTGACCACCAGCTCATCCAGGAGGCCCTCGTCTTCGACAACAAGCACACCAACTACACCATGGAGGTGGGTGCCCGTATTGGAGTGTCAGTCTGTAGGATCTCAATAGCAATAGTAAATAACCACTCACAAGCCGGCTTGCTTTGAAACGGATGTATTGCTTGTATCTCTGCAGCAAAAAAGACACTACTGACTTTTTCCCACCACCACTTCCTTTTATAACCCTAAATAGCAATATTAAATAACCACTCACAAGCCGGTTTTGCTTTGAAATGGATATATTGCTTGTATCTCTGCAGCAAAGAAAGACACTACTGACTTTTTCCCCACCACCACTTCTTTTTATAACCCTAAATAGCAATAGTAAATAACCACTCACAAGCTGGTTTTGCTTTGAAATGGATATATTGCTTGTATCTCTGCAGCAAAGAAAGACATTACTTTTTCCCACAACTACTTCCTTTTATACACCTTTCCTGCCCATCTCCCCCTCTTCTCAGTTTCCGTATTAGAACTTGTTGCTTTACACGTTCCATATCATGGTTTCCAGCACCCTCTGGTGGCTTCAGAATGTCAGAGAGAATTGATTCAATCAGGAAGTCACGGAGGGAATTTGTGATGTCTTCATGCTGTCAGAAATTGACTCCTGATATGGAGAGACTCATAGAATCCTAGAGTTGGAGGAGACCTGGTGGGTTATCCAATCCAACCCCATTCTGTCAAGAAGCAGATGGCCATCCAGCCTCTGTTTCAAAGCCTCCAAAGAAGGAGCCTCTACCACACTCCTGAGCAGAGAGTTCCACTGCTGAACAGCTCTCCCAGTCAGGAAGTTCTCGTGTTCAGATGGAATCTCCTTTTCTGTAGTTTGAAGCCTCTTGAGATGTTCAAGAATAGGGAAAATTCCCACAACCCAGAGCCCAGGAGACTCAAGGAAGACCAAGAGCTGGCTGTGCCATCTTGTCTTGCCCAGGGCAGTCTTGTGGGAGAAACAGAGGATATGATTCCTGAAAGTTAAAGATGGAGATATGGGGACCTTGGCGAGGAGAAGGAAGACTCGCTCCCGGGTTCCAACTCATTCTCTAAAGTCTCCTTTTGTTGACCACAGCACATCCGCGTGGGCTGGGAGCAGCTGCTGACCACCATTGCCCGCACCATCAATGAAATAGAGAACCAGATCCTGACCCGTGACGCCAAAGGTATCAGCCAAGAACAGATGAACGAGTTCCGGGCCTCCTTCAACCATTTCGACCGGGTAAGGTTATTTATTTATTTACAACATTTCTATGCCGCTCTTCTCACCCCGAAGAGGACTCAGAGCAGCTTACGAGAGATATATATACATACAATATATTATATTATTAGCATAGTACAATATCAGTATTATATATTAATATATTGTACTATACCATTATATTGTAATATTATTAGTAACATTATATGTAATATAAAAGATATAATGATAATACATTATTACTAGTAGTAGTATATAAATATATAAATATTATATGTATATACAATATATTATATACCATTATATTGTAATATTATTAGTAATATTATATGTAATATAAAATATATAATTATAATATATTCTTATTAGTAGTATATAAATATATAACTATTATATGTATATACAATATATTATATTATATACCATTATATTGTAATATTATTAGTAATATTACATGTAATATAAAATATATCATTATAATATCATATTGTGCTGGTACGGCTGTACCAGGAGCTCCAATTTTATTTGCTTTGTATTAAATGTTTGCTTGCAGTCCAAGGTTCCTGGGATTCTGCAGATAGGTGGCTTCCTTTGGTTGCAGTCGTAGGGCAAGTCACCTGTCTATCATCGTTAAGTTTTGGTTCCGCCCCTTGCTCAGGGCAATTGGGAAGGGAAGGGAGCCATTTTTAGTTAGTCTCAGTAAGGAAAGCTAATGTAGAGGACGTGTACAAGCTTCTCCTGTACAAAAGCAACCCTTAAGACTTTCCGGGGAGTCTTAAGAGCATTCAAAGATTTCCAAAGATTTCCAGGGAAACAGACCTAAAGCTTTGAGGAATTTCGGAGGATAAACAGTTTGGAAGACCAAAGAACTCCAGCTGGAGAATCTACTAGCCTTACTGGTAGGTCCACTCGGTGCTCGAGACGCAGATTGACCCGGTAGCGGAGCCCACATCAGTAAGGCTTAGATTACAGTCAGCCTGGGAGAAGTTAAAAAGGGATTTTCCTTAAAGTAAAGTAACAGTTATTGAAGACAGTTGCCTGTCCTTCATGGGCAAGATTAGGAAGCCACCAGTTGCATAAAAGCCTGGAATCATTTGTTTAACTTTATTGAAGACAAGAGAAGTTTCTGTTTGATTGTTCATTAATAAAAGACTTTGTTATACTTCACGAGCCATCTAAAGACCATTTGTGGTGGAAAATCCCTGAGAGCTTCTCTTCGGGGGGCCCTGGCTTCCCGCTGGGCTCAAGTTGCACGTACTAATTCAAAGACAATTCTTTACAGGCCCAGCGCGCGACAGAACACATATTATTATTATTAGTATATTGTATTATATTATAATATTATAAATATTATATGTACTAGCTGTACCCTGCCACGCGTTGCTGTGGCCTATAGTAAATCTTTTCAAAGCAGAGGTAGATATCTGGAGTATTATGAAAGAGGGGTACCTACCTATTCCTTCCCCCGTTTTCTCCCCCTTTTTCTCCTTTCTTCCTTCTCTACCTCTTTCTTTCATTCTTTCCTTCCTTCGCTCCTTGGTTTCATCCTTCTCTCTTTCCTTCATTCCCTCCCCCTTTCTTCCTTTGCCTCCTTTCCTCCCTCCATGTTTCCTTCCTTCTTTCATTTTTTATTTCCTTTTCTCCTTCCTTCTTTACCTCTTTCCTGCCTTTCCTTCCTTTTATTTTTCTTTCCTTTCTACTTTCTCTTCTTCCTTCCTTCGGTACCTCTTTCTTTCCTGCCTTCCCTCCTTCCTTTCTTCCTTCCCAATGCTTACCAAACCCTTCTCATGGGAGTCCTGTGTGCCACGTTTGGTTTAATTCCGTCGGTGGAGTTCAGAATGCTTTGATTATAGGTAAACTATAAATCCCAGCAGCTACAACGGAGGGGGGAGGGAGGAGGAGGAAGAGTTTAGGGGCGGGGCCTCGGTGGGTGTGGGCGGGGCTTCGGTGGAGGGGGTGGGAGGAGGAGTGCAGGGGCGGGGCCTCGGTGTGGGGCTTCGGTGGAGGGGGGTGGGGGAGGAGGAGTGCAGGGGTGGGGCCTTGGTGGGTGTGGGCGGGGCTTTCGGCAGAGGGGGGTGGGAGGAGGAGTGCAGGGGCAGGGACTCGGTGGGTGTGGGCGGTGCTTCGGTGGAGGGGGGTGGGAGGAGGAGTGCAGGGGTGGGGCCTCAGTGGGTGTGGGCGGGGCTTCAGCAGAGGGGGGTGGTGGGAGGAGGAGTGCAGGGGTGGGGCCTCAGTGGGTGTGGGCGGGGCTTCGGTGGAGAGAGTGGGAGGAGGAGTGCAGGGGTGGGGCCTTGGTGGGTGTGGGCGGGGCTTTGGCAGAGGGGGTGGGAGGAGGAGTGCAGGGGCAGGGACTCGGTGGGTGTGGGCGGTGCTTCGGTGGAGGGGGGTGGGAGGAGGAGTGCAGGGGTGGGGCCTCAGTGGGTGTGGGCAGGGCTTCGGCAGAGGGGGGAGGGAGGTGCGGAGGGTGCATTGGCCGTTTGGCCATGTGCGCGCGCCGGGGACTTTGCGCCATTGCGCATGCTCAATTGTTTTGTCGTTTTGTGAGTGTGTTGTTTTTTATTTTGATTCGATTTGTTTGTACCTTGTGGGTTGAGGTATGTGCATGGGAATTTTGGTTAATTTTCGTTGGGTGGTTTTTGAGTTTTGCTGTCCCGTTGGATGCCCCTTACAGATTTATATATATAGATATACAATATATTACATTACATTACATTATATTTAATATTTAATGTTATTGGTGTGGGAAGTAGCTACAGCATTGCACTTCTGCCCACCTGACCGGTGCGGAGGGGTGGTATCTGTTTCTCATCTAACTGCTGCTTTTCCTCCCGGTCCCTTGCAGAAACGAAATGGCATGATGGACCCTGACGACTTCCGCGCCTGCTTGATCTCAATGGGATACGATCTGGTACGAGGCCTGTGGGGTGTGATCTGATACAAAGGACATACAACAGATCTCCTTTCAACTACTGTTTCTTCTCTGGGGGAAAACTACAGCCGATACTGTAAACCTGTAAACCTCCCAAAGATGTTGGACTGCAAATCCCAGCATTCCTTATCGTTGGAAGGGGGGCCACAGGGACTTGAATCCCCACAACATCTATTTGATGTCCACTCTGTGTTAAAACAGGCTTGGAACCGGTTGGCGCAACAGGTGTAGTCAGGACTGCTGACCAAAAGTATGGCGGTTTGAATCTAGGGAGCGGGGTGAGTTCCTGTGTGTCCACTCCAGCTTCACATGCAAGGACATGAGAGAAGCCTCCCACAGGAGGGTAAAACATCCAGGCATCCCCTGGGCAACATCCTTGCAGACAGCCTATTCTCTCACACCAGAAGCGACTTGCAGTTTCTCAAGTAGTTTCTGACGTGAAAATGAAAATGAAATTTAGCATAACCGTATATACTCAAGGATAAGCCGACCCAAATATAAGCAAAAAACCTGGGAGCATATGAGTCGAGTATAAGTCAAGGGTAGGAAATGCAGCAGGTACTGGAAAATATAAAAAAAATAAATGGGAAGTGGTGGTTGGAAAAGCGGGGAAATGAGGTGGAAAGGGGGTAGCTGGAAAAGTCGGACAGATTTGGGTGGGAATGGGGCAATTGGGGAAGGGGGAATGACTGAGATATGAAAGAGGGGCTGGAAACTGGGAAAGGTTGGGAAGGGAAAGGGGGCTGGAAAAGTGCAAAAGACTCCAGTCTAGAGTGAGAAAATCTGGGGAAATTGGTGTGGGAAAGGGTGGCATTGGGACGGGGATAGGAAGATTGCAAAATGAGCAAGACTGGTGTGCAAAAGGCGGGCTGGAAAGGTGGAAAGACTGGGGTGGGAAGGGGGCAAGTGGAAAAGTGGGAAAGACTGAAGTGGGAAAGAGGGCTGGGAAAGTGGGAAACTGCAGTGGGGAAATGGGCTAGACTGAAATGGGAAGGAGTGGCTGGAACCTGGAGTTGGAAAGGATGGAATGTGAGATGGAAAAGTGGGAGAGAGGGGCTGGGGATAGTAAAGACTGGGGTAGGAAGGGGGAAACCAGAAAAAGGAAATACTAGGGTGGGAAAGGGGGCTGGGAAAGTGGGAAACTGCGGTCGGAAAGGGGGCTAGACTGAAATGGGAAGGAGAGGCTGAAACCTGGGGAAGGAAGGGATGGAGAGCAAGATGGAAAAGTGGGGGAGAGGGGATGGGGATAGTAAAAACTTGGGTAGGAAGGGGAAAACTCAAAAAAGGATAGACTAGGGTGGGAAAGGGGGCTGGGAAAGTGGGAAACTGTGGTGGGAAAGGGGGCTAGACTGAAATGGGAAGGAGAGGCTGGAATCTGGAAAAGGAAGGGATGGAAAGTGAGATGGAAAAGTGGGAGAGAGGGGCTGGAGATAGTCAAGACTGGGGTAGGAAGGGGGAAACTAGAAAAAAAGACTAGGGTGGGAAAGGGGGCTGGGAAAGTGGGAAACTGTGGTGGGAAAGGGGGCTAGACTGAAATGGGAAGAAGAGGCTGGAATCTGGAAAAGGAAGGGATGGAAAGTGAGATGGAAAAGTGGGAGAGAGGGGCTGGGGATAGTAAAGACTGGGGTAGGAAGGGGAAAACTAGAAAAAAGGGAAAACTTGGGTGGGAAAGGGGGCTGGGAAAGTGGGAAACGGCAGTGGGAAAGGGGGCTAGACTGAAATGGGAAGGAGAAGCTGGAACCTGGGGAAGGAAGGGATGGAAAGTGAGATAGAAAAGTGGGGGAGAGGGTCTGGGGATATTAAAGACTGGGGTAGGAAGGGGAAAACTAGAAAAAGGAAAGACTAGGGTGGGAAAGTGGGAAACTGCGGTGGGAAAGGGGGCTAGACAAATGGGAAAATGGAATTGGCGGGGGGACAGGACGGAACGGGACACTTGTGCTTGAACTCATGCAAAATTGATATGGACCATGCCATTGGTCCTTCTCTGCTCCTGTCAATCCTAATTGTTGCTTCTCCCAGGGCGAGGTGGAGTTTGCCCGCATCATGACGCTGGTGGACCCGAACAACACAGGGGTGGTGACTTTCCAGGCCTTCATCGACTTCATGACCCGTGAGACAGCCGAGACGGACACAGCCGAGCAGGTCATGGCCTCCTTTAAGATCCTGGCTTCAGATAAGGCAAGTGTGGTCCACAAGAGAAGGAAGAACCTGTCTCCCTGTGTTTGTGTATAGAAGCATCTTATACACAAGACCTGGCCAGTTAGGCTTTTTGTGTTTTCCAGTGTTTTTATGAGTGATGGTCACTCGTTGGCCTGATACGTGCATTGTGTCCAAATTTGGTGTCAATTCACCTAGTGGTTTTTGAGTTGTGTTAATCCCACAAACAAACATTACATTTTGATTTATATAGATTATATTATTATTCAATGTATTGTCGAAGGCTTTCATGGCTGGAATCACTAGGTTCTTGTGGGTTTTTTCGGGCTATAGGTCCATGTTCTAGAGGCATTTCTCCTGACGTTTCGCCTGCATCTATGGCAAGCATCCTCAGAGGTGTGAGGTCTGTTGAAATTAGGACAATGGGTTTATATATCTGTGGAATGGCTGGGGATGAAATCCACAAGCATGTGGACAATTTCAACAGAAAGGAAGAGACCATGAAAATGAACAAAATCTGGCTACCAGTATTAAAAAACTCTAAAATTACAACAGCAAACAGCAGAGAGGAAACAACCAGGCACATCTTAACACCTCTCAACAAAAGATTTTCCCAGGCTCAGCCAGGCCTTCAAATGCTAATGAAGGTGGTCAGTTGAAACATTCACACCTAGCTCCAGCAGAGAAGAGCTCTTTGCCCCACCCCAGCCATTCCACAGATATATAAACCCATTGTCCTAATTCCAACAGACCTCACTACCTCTGAGGATGCTTGCCATAGATGCAGGCGAAACGTCAGGAGAAATGCCTCTAGAACATGGCCCTATAGCCCGAAAAAACCCACAAGAACCTATATTATTATATTACATTAATATAGAATATATAATATTTTTAGTATAAAATATTAAATTATATTCCATATTCAATCCAAAACCTATCCATAGAATCATAGAATCAAAGAGTTGGAAGAGACCTCATGGGCCATCCAGTCCAACCCCATTCTGCCAAGAAGCAGGAATATTGCATTCAAACCACCCCTGACAGATGGCCATCCAGCCTCTGTTTAAAAGCTTCCAAAGAAGGAGCCTCCACCACACTCTGGGGCAGAGAGTTCCACTGCTGAACGGCTCTCACAGTCAGGAAGTTCTTCCTCATGTTCAGATGGAATCTCCTCTCTTGTAGTTTGAAGCTATTGTTCCGCGTCCTAGTCTCCAAGGAAGCAGAAAACAAGCTTGCTCCCTCCTCCCTGTGGCTTCCTCTCACATATTTATACATGGCTATCATATCTCCTCTCAGCCTTCTCTTCTTCAGGCTAAACATGCCCAGCTCCTTAAGCCGCTCCTCATAGGGCTTGTTCTCCAGACCCTTGATCATTTTAGTCGCCCTCCTCTGGACACATTTCAGCTTGTCAATCTCTCTCTTGAATTGTGGTGCCCAGAATTGGACACAATATTCCAGGTGTGGTCTAACCAAAGCGGAATAGAGGAGGTAGCATGACTTCCCTAGATCTAAACACTATGCTCCTCTTGATGCAGGCCAAAATCCCATTGGCTTTTTTTGCCGCCACATCACATGTTGGCTCAATCTTGAATAACCCTCTCTTCCCACCTTCTTTGACAGAGCTACATCACGATAGAGGAACTGCGTCGGGAACTGCCTCCGGAGCAAGCGGAATACTGCATCAGCCGGATGACGAAATACACCGGAGCTGACGCTGTGTCGGGCGCTTTGGACTATGTCTCCTTCTCCAGTGCCCTGTATGGAGAGAGTGACCTGTGATTCCCTCTCCCCGCACCCGCCCCCCTTCTATTCCAAGCCCACCCTCCCCTTCACCAGAAATGGCCTGTGGGAGCAGCAGGAGGACCCCACACCTTGTGGGGCAACCAGCACCACCGGAGCCTTGAATCCACACACGAGGGGAGCCCTGTGGGATCTCTCCACCCACAAGCCAGGGCTGGTGGATCGAGGGTGGTCTTGGCTAGGCAAGTCTCCGACCCCATTCTTCTTGGTAGAAGCTGCTGTGTCCGCTCTTTGCTGCTGCGCTAGTTGTGCGGGTCCTCCTCCGAGTTGACGTCCAACACCTTCCCTTCTCTCTGCGGCTGTTTTCATCCAGCCTCAAGCCGTTCCTCATGGGAGCAACTCATGCCGTCCCGCTCTTAACAGTTGCTTACATGGGGAGAAGGGTCCCCCCACTTCCCCACTCAACCATGAGAGCCCTACAATGTTTAAGCTGCCCAAAATTGATCCTGGGGGTGGAGTGGAGGGAGGAGAGGGAGAAGGGGACTGGTGGACCCAGGGGAGGACTGCTTGGAAGGATTGCTGAACTAATAAAGAAACACACACTGGAGGCCCACCTGGTGTCACGGCATCTTTTCTTTGCGTAGCGGTCTGAGCGTTGGACGACGTCTCCGGAAACTAGGAAATCCACTAGGTCACACTGTCTCAACCCCAATCCACTAGGTCACACACTCTCTGCCTCAGTGGACACCCCATCTGAAGAAATGTTGCCTGTGCTAGGTTGGCCCAAGCGTTGCCGTAAGTCAGAAGTGACTCGAAGGCACACTATAACAATAGCAACACCAACCACTTGTTGACCTTTCTGTGGCCCAGACGCTTTTGTCTTCTTAAGCGTGTTCAGTATATTCGCTTACTCGGCCTTCACTTATCCGACATTGCGTCTTATCCGACACCCCACTTTTCCTTTTCAGTTAAAGGAGAGCTCCCCAACTCTCTCTCCATTCCCAATAAGAGAAAAGGGTAAGGCAAGGAGGAGGGAGGAAAGGGGGAAAGACTGGGGTGGGAAGGGGGTAAGTGGGAAAGACCGAAGTGGGAAAGGGGGCTAGACTAAAATGGGAAGGAGGGTCTGGAACCTGGGGAAGGAAAGTGGGATGGAAAAGTGGGAGAGAGGGGATGGGGATACTAAAGACTGGGGTAGGAAGGGGAAAACTTGAAAAAGGAAAGACTAGGGTGGGAAAGGGGGCTGGGAAAGTGGGAAGCTGCAGTGGGAAAGGGGGCTAGACTGAAATGGGAAGGAGAGGCTAGAAACTGGGGAAGGAAGGAATGGAAAGCAAGATGGAAAAGTGGGAGAGAGGGGCTGGGGATAGTAAATACTTGGGTAGGAAGGGGAAAACTCAAAAAAGGAAAGACTAGGGTGGGAAAGGTGGTGGGAAAGTGGGAAACTGGTGGGAAAGGGGGCTAGACTGAAAGCAAAAGGATTCCCTAACTGCTGCAAAAGCGGCAGATGGAAATGAACTGAAGCAGTAACCCCTCCCACTGGCTATATACTCTATGGGGAGAGTGGGTGGGGCTACTGCCGAAAAGTGTCTAATAAGTTTTCTAGAAGATTCCGAACTGTCTGCGCAGGCGCAAGAAATACCATGTGTGATTCACAGTTGACCGCGATGGAGACTGGCTCGAATTGTCTGCGCAGGCGCAGGATATACCATATGCGCAATTCACCGTTGACCACGAAAGAGAATGGCTTGAATTGTCTGTGCACACGCAGGAAAACCATATGTGTGATTCACAGTTGACCACGATGGAGAATGGCTCAAATTGTCTGCGCAGGAAATACCATATGTGCAATTACCGTTTACCACGGTGGGGAACGGCTTGAATTGTCTGCGCAGGCGCAGGAAATACCATATGTGCAATTCACCGTTGACCACGATGGAGAACGGCTCGAATTGTCTGCGCAGGCGCAGGAAATACCATATGTGCAATTCACCGTTGACCACGATGGAGAACGGCTCGAATTGTCTGCGCAGGCGCAGGAAATACCATATATGCAATTCACCGTTGACCACGATGGAGAACGGCTCGAATTGTCTGCACAGGCGCAGGAAATACCATATGTGCAATTCACCGTTGACCACGATGGAGAATGGTTCTATCCAAATCACAACTCACCCCTTGAAATAATGAAAAGCTCTCCTTAAAGTATCTTTAATAATAAAAATAGAGTTTTTTTGGGAACCTGAAGGAAAATATGACAGCCTCCCCATGCCCACCCGACTGGGGAACTATAAAAAAGGGCTCAGGGCAGAAGTTCTCAGGAATGCAGGCCCAGCTACATCCTCACCACAAACAGGATTCGGCGGCAGCTTTTCGGCAAGGAGTGATCGGATCATGTCCTGCGCCCTCGTGCAACTCGACTCCAAATCCACCCCAAGCGTGCAGGAGAGCCCAAAGGGCCAGGAGAGATGCCAAGGTCTTGCTTGGCCCGAGGGAAAGAGGTGGCGGGCTGAGCATCAGGAGCAGAAGGAGAAGCTCCCCAGGCTCTTGGTGGGAGAGGTCAGCCTGGAGAGGGAGCAGATGGGCAGGCGGCCAAAGAAAGCCGGGTCCGTCATGGGGTGGAGGAGGAGGAGGAAGAGCCCCACGCCCAGCAGGTAGAAGAAGACCACCAGGACGCGCTGAGGGTGCTCCAGGGCCGCCCCCACGGCCGGAAAGCCCACGTAGTTGCAGAAGGAGTGGCAGAGGACAGGCCCAACGAGGTGCCCTGCGGAGAAGGGAAGGGGAGAGAGTCTGAGCCAAACGTGGGCGGGAGACACTTTCATCACAAGCGTACAGAGGGAAAACCGTGCAGCTAGCAAACGTGTCTAGGCAACGGTTCCCTCCAAACGCCCACTCCCACTCCACTTACCACCTTTGAAATCCAATTAAGCAAGTCACGACTCAGTAAAACAAACCTCCTTCGAAGTTTAGTCAATCTATGCACGTAATATAAGTGAAAATAGGTATGTGCGTATGTGGCTGAGGTGTCCACGTACACAGACAGCTCCCACAAACAGCTATAGCTCCCCTCCCTCCAATAATAATAATAATAATAATAATTATTATTATTATTATTATTATTATTATTATTATTATTATTATTATTATTATTATTATTATTATTACTAGCTGTACCCTCTATGCGTTGCTGTGGCCAACCTTCCCTCCTCTTTCTCTCCTTCTTTCCCTCCTTCCTTTGCTCCCTCTTTCCTTCTTCCCTTTTCTTCTTTCCTTCTCTCCCTCTTTCCTTCCTTCCCCCCTTTTTCTTTTCCTCCCTCTTTCTCTCCTTTTTCCTTCCCTCCCTCTTTCTTTCCTTCCTTCCTTTTTCTTTCTCTTTCCTTCCTTCCTCTTCTCTTTTCTTCCTTCTCCCTTTTTTCTTTTCCTACTTCTTTCTCTCCTTCCTTCTTTCCTTCCTTCACTCTTTGCTTCCATTCTTCCTTCTTTCTTGCCCTCCCTCTTTCTCTCCTTTCTTTCTTTCTATCTATTCTTTCTTCCTTCTCTCTCTCTTCCTTCCTTTCTTTGCTTCCATCTTCCTTCTCTTTCCTTTTTCTTTCCTCTCTTCTTTCTTCCTTCTCTACCTCTTTCCTTCCTTCCTTTGCTCTTTGCTTCCATCCTTCTTTCTCTCTTTCCTTCTTCCTTTCCCACTTTCTTCCTTCCTTCCTTTCTTCTCTACCTCTTTCCTTCCTTCCTTTGCTCTTTGCTTCCATCCTTCCTTCTCTTTTTCCTTCTTTCTTTTCCTCTTTCTTTCTTCCTTCCTTCCTTCCTTTCTTTCTATTCTTTCTTCCTTCTCTACCTCTTTCCTTCCTTCCTTCTCTCTTTGCTTCCATCCTTCCTTCTCTATTTCCTTTTTTCTTTCCCTCCCTCTTTCTCTGCTTTCTTCCTTCTCTACTTCTTTCCTTCCTTCCTTCTCTCTTTGCTTCCATCCTTCCTTCTCTCTTTCCTTCCTTTCCCTCTTTCTTTCTTTCTTTCTTTCTTTCTTTCTTTCGTTCTTTCTTTCTTCTTTCCTTCCTTCCTTCCTTCCTTCTCTTCCTCTTTCCTTCCTTCCTTTGCTCTTTGCTTCCATCTTTCCTTCTCTTTCTTTCCCTCCCTCTTTCTTTCTTTCTTTCCTTCCTTTGCGCTTTGCTTCCATCTTTCTGTCTGTCTGTCTGTCTGTCTGTCTTTCTTTTCTTTCTTTCTTTCCTTCCTTCCTTCCTTTGCGCTTTGCTTCCATCTTTCTTTCTGTCCGTCCTTCCTTCCTTCCTTCCTTCCTTCCTTCCTTTGTGCTTTGCTTCCATCTTTCTTTCTTTCTGTCTGTCTTTCTTTTTTTCCTCCCTTTTTTTTCTTCCTTCCTTCCTTTCTTTCCTTCCTTCCTTTGCGCTTTGCTTCCATCCATCTTTCTTTCTTTCTTTCTTTCTTTCTTTCTTTCTTTGTCCCCTTCCTTCCTTCCCTCCCTCCCTCTTCCTTTCCTTTTTTCTGCATCGTCAATTAGCTTTTCGTCATTTAGCTTTTTTGGGGTTTTAAGTTCTTTCTGTTATTTAGGTTTTTTTTATGAGAGATGGTAACTTGTTGGTCTGTTAGGGGTAGAGTGTCCAAATTTTGTGTCAATTCATCCAGTGGTTTTTGAGTTCAGTTAATCCCACAAACGAACATTACATTTTTATTTATACAGATTTATACCCCGCCACCATCTCCTCAAAGGGGACTCGGGGCGGCTTACATGAGACCAAGCTCAACAGCGCATTACAATAAAATAAAACCAAAACACAAAACAACAGCATAATAAATACATAAAACATAAGAATACAGTAAGAAATATATAAAAATACAATAAAATGACATTGCAGGTTATAGTGAGCACCATGAACATGTCCAAGAGTCCCGCCAATGCCCTCCACCAACACCACACTGCCCACCACCCAAGTCAAAGCTTTAATTCAGGGACCATTTCATTCTAGGTTGTATGTGTTTCCTCTGCCACAGACATCCCAGTGTAAAGATGTCCAAGAGCCCTGCCAATGCCCTCCACCAACACCACACTGCCCACCACCCAAGTCAATGCTTTCATTCGGGGACCATTTCATCCTAGATTGTATGCAATTCCTCCACCTCAGACATCCCAGTGTAAACATGTCCAAGAGCCCTGCCAATGTCCTCCACCAACACCACACTGCCCACCACCCAAGTCAAGGCTTTCATTCGGGGACCATATAGACTGCCTAGAGAGGGAAAGCAGGGTATAAACATAAACATAAACATAATAATAATAATCTATTGGAGGCTCCTTCTTTGGAAGTTCCTTAGTAGAGGCTACATGGCCATCTGTCGGGAGGGCTTTGATGGTGTCTTCCTGCCTGACGCAGAGTGGAGTCTAACTCTAGTGTCACATAGACTGCCTAGAGAGGGAGAGCAGGGTATAAACAAACATAATAATAATAATAATAATCATCATCATCATCATAATCTATTGGAGACTCCTTCTTTGGAGGTTCCTCAGTAGAGGCTACATGGCCATCTGTCGGGAGGGCTTTGATGGTGTCTTCCTTCCTGATTCAGAGTGGAGTCTAACTCTAGTGTCATATAGACTGCCTAGAGAGGGAAAGCAGGGTATAAACAAACAAACATAATTATAATAATATTAATAGTCTATAATAATAATAATAATAATAATAATAATAATAATAATAATAATAATGTCTATTGGAGGCCCCATCTTTGGAGGTTCCTCAGTAGAGGTTACATGGCCATCTGTTGGGAGGGCTTTGATGGTGTCTTCCTGCCTGGCGCAGAGTGGAGTCTAACTCTAGTGTCATATAGACTGCCTAGAGAGGGAAAGCAGGGTATAAACAAACATAATAATAATAATAATAATAATGTCTATTGGAGGCTCCTTCTTTGGAGTTTCCTCAGTAAAGGCTACATGGCCATCTGTCGGGAGGGCTTCGATGGTGTCTTCCTGCCTGGCACAGAGTGGAGTCCAACTCTAGTGTCATATAGACTGCCTAGAGAAGGAAAGCAGGGTATAAACATAATAATAATAATAATAATAATAATAATAATAATAATAATAATAATTCCCATATCTTCTTCACCCACCTGTCCTGATGAAGATGAAGGCTGTGTAGGCCCCAAATACAGCTGTGTATGAGAACTGGAACACTGGAGAGAGAGGAAGAAAGCAGTCAAACATTGGAAGGGAAGTAAGACGATGCCAGGAAGATGTCAACACAATGTCTTAACCACGACCACCACCATAAGGTTGAGGTGGCCCTTCAATGCTGTGCCAGGCTGCTTTGTTTACAAGGTGGGTTGGAATGGTAGACACATCATAGGCATGTCACCGGAGGTACACATTTACGTCTCCCATAAATGAGGTCAGATCTTATTTTTTAGTCCATACACCACATCCCACCAAACATGCCCACTTTCAGAGTGTGGCAAAGCCATACCTGCCGAGAGGAATATACTGGCTGTGCTTCCTTGGCGGAACCTCAACTGCTCAATGACGTGGTGAAAATGAGCTGCAGGGGAGACAAGAAACAAAGGCACAAACAGATATTATATATATATACTAGCCGTTCCCTGCCACGCGTTGCTGTGGCCCACATGGGGGTTCTGTGTGGGAGGTTTGGCACAATTCTATCCTTGGTGGGGTTCAGAATGCTCTGTGATTGTAGGTGAACTATGAATCCCGGCAACTACAACTCCCAAATGTCAAGATTCTATTTTCCCCAAACTCCACCAGTGTTCACATTTGGGCATATTGAGTCTTCGTGTAGAGTGTGGTCCAGATCCATCATTGTTTGAGTCCACAGTGATCACGGGATGTAGGTGAACTACAACTCCAAAACCAAAGGACACTGCCCACCAAACCCTTCCAGCATTTTCTGTTGGTCATGGGAGAACTGTGTGCCAAGTTTGGTTCAATTCCATCGTTGGTAGGGCTCAGAATGTTCTTTTGATTGTAGGTGAACTATAAATCCCAGCCACTACAACTCCCAAATGACAAAATCAATATTTTTTGAGTGAAGGACATACATTGGGTTGTTAGGTGTCTTGTGTCCAAATTTGGTCTCAATTCGTCCAGTGGTTTTTGAGTTCTGTTAATCCCACAAACATTACATTACATTTATTTATTTATATTTATATATATATATATATATATATATATATAAAAATAATTTTTATTGATAGATAGGTAAAGGTAAAGTCCAGTCGTGTCCGACTCTGAGGGTTGGCGCTCGTCTCCATTTCTAAGCCAAAGAGCCGGCATTGTCCAGACACCTCCAAGGTCATGTGGCCAGCATGAACTGCATGGAGCGCCATTACCTTCCTGCTGGAGCGGTACCTATTGATCTACTCACCTTTGCATGTTTTCGAACTGCTAGGTTGGCAGAAGCTGGGGCTAACAGCAGGCGCTTACCCCACTCCCCAGATTCAAACCTGCGACTTTTCGGTCAACAAGTTTAGCATTTTGTACAATTTAAAAAATGACTTTTTAAAATCACCTGGGCAATAATAATAATAATAATAATAATAATAATAATAATAGGAGTTTGTAGGGGTTAACCTGGCATGATGGGAGTTGTAGTTCACCCACAACTTTATGCATTTTGTGCAGTTAAAAATATGACTTTTTTCAAGCTAGTAGATATATAAAATAGGTATAAACACCAAACATTCGCTGAGAATTAATCAGCATGTGTAAGGCTTGCTAATGAGGCTGATGCTTCTTTTTTATGAAGCACAGCTGAAGCATTTGCTGCAGAATCCATTGTAAATGCGCCCTGCTGCAAAAAAAAGATTGCCGTCAATGGGTGCCATTTGGAAATTCTTTAAAAAAAAATTTAAAAAGACAATTTAAAAAATGACTTTTTAAAATAACCTGGGCAATGCCGGGAACCCAAGCTAATAAATTAATAATAATAATAATAATAATAATAATAATAATAATAATAATGATAATGATAATAATAATAATAATAGGGTTGTGAGTTTTTTTTGCTTTTCTACCCACCAGCTTTGTGCAAAGCAAAGTGAAGGCAAGGGGAGGATATCCTGGCCCTCCCCTGCAAGTAATAAGATGGTACTCACCGACTCCGAAGAAGAGGGGGCAGGTGAAGATGGCCGGCCCCAATCCTGTGCAGGGGACGAGCATGGGCAACATGCAGGCGCGGAACACCAGCTCCTCGGTAAAGGGTGCGATGACCTGGTTGCGGAGCCAGCGCATGTCGGTCAGACAGAGAACCCAGAAGTTGGGGTCTGGGAGGAGCAGGAGCAGCGTTACTCACACCCCACCCACCTCCGTTACACACACGTAAACACAGCTAGCACCAAAAACGAGATAATGCTGCATCTTTTTAGACATTTATAATGAAAGCAGGCCCATGCCATCCTCTGCTGAATGGGGAATCCCATTGATTCAGTGGCTCTACATCTAGGCAAATCCCGTTGATTCAATGGCTTGGTCCTAATTGGGATTCACAACATTTCTAGGAAGATGGGGCCTTGTCTGTGCGCTTTCATGGCCTGAGTAATAATAATAATAATAATAATAATAATAATAATAATACTTGGATCGGCGTGCATCATTCAAAAATACATCACACAGTCCTAGATGCTTGGGAAGTGTTCGACTTGTGATTTTGTGATACGAAATCCAGCATATAGATCTCGTTTGCTGTGACATACTGTGGTTTTGTGTCAGTAAAATAATAATAATAATAATAATAATAATAATAATAATAATAATAATACATCACACAGTCCTAGACACTTGGGAAGTGTTCGACTTGTGATTTTGTGATACGAAATCCAGCATATAGATCTCGTTTGCTGTGACATACTGTGGTTTTGTATCAATAATAATAATAATAATAATAATAATAATAATAATAATACATCACACAGTCCTAGACACTTGGGAAGTGTTCGACTTGTGATTTTGTGATACGAAATCCAGCATATAGATCTCGTTTGCTGTGACATACTGTGCTTTTGTGTCAATAATAATAATAATAATAATACATCACACAGTTCTAGACAATTGGGAAGTGTTCGACTTGTGATTTTGTGATATGAAATCCAGCATATAGATCTCGTTTGCTGACATACTGTGCTTTTGTGTCAATAATAATAATAATAATAATAATAATAATAATAATAATACATCACACAGTCCTAGACACTTGGGAAGTGTTCGACTTGTGATTTTGTGATACGAAATCCAGCATAGAGATCTCGTTTGCTGTGACATACTGTGCTTTTGTGTCAGTAAAATAATAATAATAATAATAATACATCACATAAACACTTGGGAAGTGTTTGACTTGTGATTTTGTGATACAAAAATCACATATATATCTCGTTTGCTGTGACATACTGTGATTTTGTGTCAGTAAAATAATAATAATAATAATAATAATAATACATCACAGTCCTAGACTTGTGAAGTGTTCGACTTGTGATTTTGTGATACGAAATCCAGCATCTAAGATCTTGTTTGCTGTGACATACTGTGGTTTTGTGTCAATAATAATAATAATAATAATAATAATAATAATAATAATAATACATCACACAGTCCTAGATGCTTGGGAAGTGTTCGACTTGTGATTTTGTGATATGAAATCCAGCATAGAGATCTCGTTTGCTGTGACATACTGTGGTTTTGTGTCAATAATAATAATAATAATAATCAGCCACTTTGTGGAGAAAAAGCACTGTAAAATAATAATAATAACAATAATAATAAGTTGTTGCTGTCTTTCAAATAATAATAATAATAATAATAATAATAATAATAATAATAATAATAATAAGCAGACACAATATGAGGATTTAAAGATCGAACAGCAAAGACTCTGGCACAAGCCAGTCAAGGTGGTCCCAGTGGTGATGTACCTAAAGACCTTGGCCTGCACTTAAACACAATCACCGCTGACAAAATGACCTTCTGCCAGCTGCAGAAGACCACCTTGCTGGGATCTGCACGCATTATTCGCCGATATATCACACAGTCCTAGACACTTGGGAAGTATCTGATGAGTGATCCAATACAACAGCTAGCAGAGTGTCTGCTGTGGACTCATCTTGTTGTGTTTCAAATAATAATAATAATAATAATAATAATAATAATAATAATATCCAATACAACAGCCAGCAGAGTGATCTTGTCTGCTCTGAACTCATCTTGTTGTGTTTCAAATAATAATAATAATAATGGGTTGCTGTGTTTTCTGGGCTGTATGGCCATGTTCCAGAAGCATTCCCTCCTGATATTTCACCCACATCTATGGCAGGCATCCTCAGAGGTTGTAAGGTCTGTTGGAAACTAGGCAAGTGGGGTTTCTATACAAGTTGATTGGTTGGTTGGTTGAGACAGTTTTAAAGAGAGGATTTTAACGTCAAGATGAGTGATTTTAATGTTTTTGTATGTGTATAGTATAGTATGTTTCGGCATTGAATGTTTATTTATTTATTTACGACATTTATATACCGCCCTTCTCACCCTGAAGGGGACTCTGTACAAATATGTACAGTGTTCCATTACTTATCACGGGGTTTCCGTTCCATTCTGTTCTGATGACAACGTCGTCTGTGCGCATTCAGAAGAAGACCTACAAGCCACTCTAAACACCTTTGCAGGAGCATACGACAAGCTCGACCTGTCATTAAACATCGAGAAAACCCAAGCGCTCTTCCAGCAGTCACCAGCCAATCTCTCTCCAATGCCAGAAATACAGCTTAATGGTGTAACATTAGAAAACGTTGAGCATTTCCGCTCCCTTGGCAGCCACCTCTCCACAAAAGTTAACATTGACACTGAAATACAACACCGCCTGAGCTCTGCGAGTGCAGTTTTTTTCCGAATGAAGCAGAGAATGTTTGAGGATTGGGACATCCATAGGGAGACCAAGGTGCTTGTTTATAAAGCTGCTGTCCTCCCAACACTGTTATATGCCTGCGAAACGTGGACTGTCTACAGACGTCACATGCAACTCCTGGAACGATTCCATCAGCGCTGCCTCTGGAAAATCCTGCGACTCTCTTGGGAAGACAAGCGGACAAATGTCAGCGGGCTGGAAGAAGCAAAGACCACCTGCATTGAAGTGATGGTCCTCCGCCATCAACTCCGCTGGATCAGCCATGTTGTCCGGATGCCCGACCACTGTCTCCCAAAGCAGCTGCTGTCAGGTTTTACAATGTACTGTAATGTAATATAGCTGAGTCACGCACTGCTAATGGGCTTCTATTGGAAATGCTGAGTCATGCATTAACTGTATATAGGGAATCATTTGGGGAATGTATTCTGGCCTAGTTCAGGTGATTGTGAATGATGCAATCCTGGATTTGAGTTAAGTCAATGAGTTGGGAACCAATCAGAGATTGCTATGTGTAAATGAATTGTATATAAGGAAGTCATGTACAGTGTATATTTCTCCTTGTGCTGTGATGCTGTTCGTCGAAGGCTCTATGTAATTAAAAGAACCTGTCTGCTAAGACAAGATATAACTGTATGCTGTGGTAATTTGTAATATCATCTAGACTGGGGGAAAGACAATGGTAAAACTGACAATGGCCGGGCATGTGCTCAAGTGTCTGTAAAAGGTTCCAGAGTGACTGCAGGCTGTGGGAGCAGTTGACTGAAAATACTGTGCAGGAAGAAGCTACTGGAAAGTGCTGAAGTTGTGCAACTGATCTGCTGCTGAATTGTGAAGTTAATCTCAACAGCTGCTCTACTCCGAACTCAAGAACGGAAAACGGAAAGTTGGTGGGCAGGAAAAGAGATTTAAAAATAGACTCAAAGCCAACCTTAAAATCTCTGGCATAGACACTGAGAAGTGGGAAGCCCTGGCCTGTGAGCGCTCCAGCTGGAGGTCAGCTGTGACCAGCAGTGCTTCAGAATTTGAAAAGGCACGAATGGAGGGCGAAAGAGAGAAACGTGCCAAGAGGAAGGCACGGCAAGCCAACTCCAACCGGGACCGCCTTCCGTCTTGAAACCGATGCCCTCACTGCGGGAGAAGATGCAGATCAAGAATAGGGCTCCACAGTCACCTACGGACCCACTGCCAGGACACTACACTTGGAGGACCATCAACTTTGGATTATGAAGGATAGCCTAAGTAAGTAAGTAGGAATGGTGGGAGTTGAAGTCCAAAACACCTGGAGGACCCAAGCTTGCCCATGCCTGCATGCAAAGCAGGTGAACTTAGCATTGAGTGAAACATGCAGAATAATCACAGGTTGTCTTAAATCTACACCATGCTGGTTCTCCATTTGAGCTTTGGCACTCAAACCACTACATTGGCTTCTCCTGCCACTGAATCAAGAAGACCATGTTTGTATACATCCTATTCATTCAGTGAGTCTCCTCTTTCTAAGATTACGAACAATTGGACATGGACCTTGCTCTGCCACCCACGCCTCTGGCTCTCTTTCTCTCTGTGTCGCTTTGCCACTCGTCCACTCCCCCTCACTCGGCTGCATTTCTCTCCTTCTCTCTCTCCCTATTCCATCCATCTTCTCTTCTCTTTCTTTCTCTCTGCCGCCCCCTCTTCCTCTGCTAAGCAGGCAAGAGTGACAGATCTACCCTCTGGCAAAAGCAGACTTGCAGAGGCTTTTCGAAAATATGCTGGAATAACCATATTCTTCCCTCAGTTTGTGCTTGTTTTGGTATGCTGCTTGAGTAGCAGACATTTGCTTTTATTTATTTACTAGCTTGGGGACCCGGCGCTGCCCGGGTTATTAGAGAAACTGGGTAATGGTGGTTCTGTATGCCAAGTTTGGTCTTTATTGGTCATTGGATGACGGTTGTATTGTTTTCAGGAAGTGAGTGAAGGTACTTGAAGTCCCATCATCCATGGCCCAGCCTCCTCAAACAGCAGCAGGATATAGAGTGGGTCGTGGGGGCTCTGTGTGCCAAGTTTGGTCTTTATCAGTCATTGGATGAGGGTGGCAGTGGTTTCAGTAAGTGAGTGAAGGTACTGGAAGTCCCATAATCCAAAGTCCATCCTCCTTCAAACTGCAGCAGGATGTAGAGTGGGTCATGGGGGCTCTGTATGCCGATTTGGTCTTGATTGGTCATTGGATGAGGGTCGCAGTGGTTTCAGTAAGTGAGTGAAGGTACTGCAAGTCCCATCATCCATGATCCACCTTCCTCCAAATTCAAAGAGGATGTAGATAGGGTCATGAGGGCTCTGTGTGCCAAGTTTGGTCTTGATCAGTCATTGGTTCAGGGTCACAGTGGTTTCAGTAAGTGAGTGAAGGTACTGCAAGTCCCATCATCCATGGTCAATCCTCCTCCAAAACTGCAGCAGGATGTAGAGTGGGTCATGTGGGCTCTGTGTGTCAATTTGGTCTTGATTGGTCATTGGATGAGGGTCGCAGTAGTTTCAGTAAGTGAGTGAAGGTACTGCAAGTCCTATCATCCATGGTCCATCCCCTTAGAACTGCATCAGGATGTAGAGTGGGCCATGAATCATAGAATCATAGAATCAAAGAGTTGGAAGAGACCTCGTGGGCCATCCAGTCCAACCCCCTGTCAAGAAGCAGGAATATTGCATTCAAATCACCCCTGACAGATGGCCATCCAGCCACTGTTTAAAAGCTTCCAAAGAATTAGCCTCCACCACACTCCGGGGCAGAGAGTTCCACTGCTGAACGGCTCTCACAGTCAGGAAGTTCTTCCTAATGTTCAGATGGAATCTCCTCTCTTGTAGTTTGAAGCCATTGTTCCGCGTCCTAGTCTCCAAGGACGCAGAAAACAAGCTTGCTCCCTCCTCCCTGTGGCTTCCTCTCACATATTTATACATGGCTATCATATCTCCTCTCAGCCTTCTCTTCTTCAGGCTAAACATGCCCAGCTCCTTAAGCCGCTCCTCATAGGGCTTGTTCTCCAGACCCTTGATCATTTGAGTCGCCCTCCACTGGACACATTCCAGCTTGTCAATATCTCTCTTGAATTGTGGTGCCCAGAATTGGACACAATATTCCAGGTAAAGTGGTCTAACCAAAGCGGAATGGAGCATGGGGAGCATGACTTCCCTAGATCTAGACACTAGGCTCCTATTGATGCAGGCCAAAATCCCATTGGCTTTTTTTGCTGCCACATCACATTGTTGGCTCATGTTTAACTTGTTGTCCACGAGGACTCCAAGATCTTTTTCACACGTACTGCTCTCAAGCCAGGCATTGTCCCCCATTCTGTATCTTTGCATTTCGTTTTTCCTGCCAAAGTGGAGTATCTTGCATTTGTCCCTGTTGAACTTCATTTTGTTAGTTTTGGCCCTTCATCTCTCTAATCTGTCAAGATCGTTTTGAATCCTGCTCCTGTCCTCTGGAGTATTGGCTCTCCCTCCCAATTTGGTGTCGTCTGCAAACTTGATGATCCTGCCTTCTAAGTCATTAATAAAAAGATGTTGAACAGGACCAGGCCCAGGACGGAACCCTGCTTGTGGCACTCCACTCGTCACTTCTTTCCAGGATGAAGAGGAAGCATTGATGAGCACCCTCTGGGTTCGTCCATTTAACTAATTACTGATCCACCTCACCGTAGGTTTTCCTAGCCCACATTGGACTATATGAGTACTCTGTGTGCCAAGTTTGGGCCTGGTCTGTGATTTTTAGGGGCTACAATGTTCTGTGGGAAGTGAATCGGGTGAAGGTACTGCAAATCCCATCATTAGTGGCCCATCCTGCCCTGGACCGCACCAGGTTTTAAAGTGGTCCATTGGGCCTCTGTGTGCCCAGTTTGGTCCTGATCCGTCAATAGTGTGGGCCACAGTGCTCTAAGGTATATATTTGTGTATATGTGTGTTTGCATATACATGTGTATGTGTGTGGTTTTGTGCATGCGTTGTAATGTAATTTTTGGTTTTTGGCTTTTTAAGTTCCTTGTGCTGTGCTTTTCAGTGTTTTTATGAGTGATGGTCACTTATTGGTCTAACAAGTGTATTGTGTCCAATTTTGGTGTCAATTCGTCCAGTGGTTTTTGAGTTATGTTAATCCCACAAACGAACATTACATTTTTATTTATATAAGATGTATTTACGACATTTATATGCCGCCCTTCTCACCCTGAAGGGGACTCAGAGTGGCTTACAAGATGTATACGCATACAATATGTTATATTATTAGCATAGTACAATATCAATATTAATTACTATATTGTATTATACCATTATATTGTAATATTATTAGTAATAGTACATCTATATAAATAAAAATGTAATGTTCATTTGTGGGATTAACAGAACTCAAAAAACACTGGACAAACTGACACCAAATTTGGACACAAGACACCTAACAACCCAATGTATGTCCTTCACTCAAAAAAATTGATTTTGTCATTTGGGAGTTGTAGTTGCTGGGATTTATAGTTCACCCACAATCACAGAGCATTCTGAACCGCACCAACGATTGAATTGAAACAAACTTGGCACACAGTTCTCCCATGACCAACAGAAAATACTGGAAGGGTTTGGTGGGCAGTGTCCTTTGGTTTTGGAGTTGTAGTTCACCTACATCCAGAGAGCACAGCATGATGGATCTGGACCAAACTTGGCATGAATACTCAATATGCCCAAATGTGAACACTGGTGGAGTTTGGGGAAAATATAATCTTGACATTTGGGAGTTGTAGTTGCTGGGATTTGTAGTTCAGCTACAATCAAAGAGCATTCTGAACCCCAGCAATGATAGAATTGGGCCAAACCTCCCACACAGAACCCCCATAGCTACCAGAGTGGGCCACAGCAACGCGTGGCAGGGGACGGCTAATAATAATAATAATAATAATAATAATAATAATAATAATAAATGCAAAAATACAGAGTTTTTTCTCTCACCCTGGACACTCCACAGGTATATAAACCTCACTTTCCTAGTATAATCATAGTATCATATTATTATTAGTATTATATTGCACTACATAATAATATTATAAATATTTTGGGACCTCACAACCTCTGAGGATGCTTGCCATAGATGCAGGCGAAACGTCAGGAGAGAATGCTTCTGGAACATGGCCATGAAGCCCGAAAAACCTACAACAACCCACCGAGACAATTGTGTTCATGGTTAAAGTGAAAGATATAGAGGGAAATGAGGGGTGGGAGGGTGGAAGGGGGAAAGAAAAAAGTGAAAAGAAAATAACACTCTAAAGATAACATAGAAATGCTATATTACATATAATATATATATATATACACACACACACACGCTGGACCTCAGTGCCCATCAGCCCCAAACAAGTGAACATGGGAATTGTATCCCTCATCCATCTGGAGTACCAAAAATTCCTCAACTTCCCACCACCACCACCACCAAGCATCACCATAACGTGACCAATAACAAAAGTCTTACCGAATGCCACTTTCAAACCATCTACCAAGTCCCAGGGACAATCCATTGAGAGTTGGATGAGAGGACCGAGGAATAACACCTGGGGAAAGAGGTGAGAATACAACGGAGCTTGGAGAGCATTGCTTGCAATATATGATAGATTACTCTCTCCTCTTCCCCACCCTAAATAGTGTGTTTTCTTTTCCAAATCTCCCTTTGCTTGCCCGAGACAGAGAGAAGCCCTTGCAAGTCAGGAATATCCATAAATCTTATCAAAAGCATTTTCCCCTGAAATATTTGTTAATCTCTCCTACAGATATATAGGCATTTCCCCCTGCAAGCCTTTGCAATCCTTATGTACCTATATATCTGTATCTATATATAGACATTAATTTTATATATGAATTTCTCCTCATATGTTTGCAGGTCTTTGCTAATCCTATATACATATCGATATCTAGAGATTTCCATGTACCTAGATATCTGCATCTATATGTATACATTATTTTTATATATGAATTTTCCTCTCACATGTTTACAAGTCTCTGAAAATCCTATATAGATATTGATATTGATAAATATATAGAGGTACCTATATGTGTATCTGTGTGTATGTATATGTGTATATATATATAAATAATTTTATATATGAATTTTCCCCTCACATGTTTGCAAGTCTCTGCCAATCCTATACAGATATTGATATCGATAAATATATAGAGGTACCTATATGTGTATCTGTGTGTGTATATATATATGTGTGTGTGTATATATGTATATATATATATATATATATATATATATGTATATATAATTTCATAAATGAATTTTCCCCTCACATGTTTGCAAGTCTTTGCAAATCCTGTATATAGATATCAATAAATATATAGAGGTACCTATATATCTGTATATCTCCCTGTGTGTATGTATATGTGTATATATAAATAATTACATATATGAATGTTCCCCTCACATGTTTGCAAGTCTTTGCAAATCCTATATATAGATATCAATAAATATATAGAGGTACCTATATGTCTGTATATCTCTCTGTGTGTATGTATATGTGTATATATATATAATAATTTCATATATGAATTTTCCCCTCAAAGTTTGCAAGTCTTTGCAAATCCTATATAGATATAGATATCAATAAATATATAGAGGTACCTATATATCTGTATATCTGTCTGTGTGTATGTGTGTATGCATATATATATAAAAATAATTTCATATATGAATTTTCTCTTCACATGTTTGCAAGTCTTTGCAAATCCTATATATAGATATCAATAAATATATAGAGGTACCTATATACCTCTATATATCTCTGTGTGTATGTATATGTGTGTATATATAAAAATAATTTCATATATGAATGTTCCCCTCACATGTTTGCAAGTCTCTGCAAATCCTATATAGATATTGATATTGATAAATATATAGAGGTACCTATATATCTGTATCTCTCTATCTGTGTGTGTGTATAAATAATTTTATATATGATTTTTCTGTTCACATGTTTGCAAGTCTTTGCAAATCCTATATACATACAATTATCTATATATATAGATTTATCTAGATAGATAGATAGATAGATAGATAGATAGATAGATATGAATATAGATATATAGGGCTTGCAAATATTACAAGGGGGAAATGCACATACAAATATATGAAGACATTTCTAGATAGATATGAATATAGATATATATAGGGCTTGCAAATATTTCAGGAAAAATGCACACACACACATATGTAATAATAATAATAATAATAATAATAATAATAATAATAATAATACTTTATATTCCACTCTATCTACCCGAAGGGACTCAAGGTGGATAGGGATGGAGAAATGTCTAGGTAGATATAAACATAGATATATAGGGCTTGCAAATATTGCAGGAGAAATGCACACACACAAACATATAATAATAATAATAATAATAATAATAATAATAATAATAATAATAATAATATATTTATTTATTTTCCGCTCTATCTCCCCAAAGGGACTCAAGGCAGATAGGGAGGGAGAAATGTCTAGATGGATATAAACACAGATATATAGGGCTTGCAAACATTGCAGGAGAAATGCACACACACACACACATATAATAATAATAATAATAATAATAATAATAATAATAATAATAATAACAACAACAACAACTCTATTTATATTCCGCTCTATCTCCCCAAAGGGACTCAAGGCAGATAGGGAGGGAGAAATGTCTAGATAGATATAAACATAGATATATAGGGCTTGCAAATATTGCAGGAGAAATGCGCACACACACACATAACAACAACAACTTTATAATTCGCTCTATCTCCCCGAAGGGACTCAGGGCGAATATGGAGGGAGAAATGTCTAGATAGATATAAACATAGATATATAGGGCTTACAAATATTGCAGGAGGGAAATGCACATAGAGAGGATTTGCAAATATTTCAGGGGGAAATGCATATGTGAAATTAATATATGTCATTATAGATCTATATCTAGCGCTGCATTGCTTATATAGGCTTCTTTGGAAGCTTTTAAACAGAGGCTGGATGGCCATCTGTCAGGGGTGATTTGAATGCAATATTCCTGCTTCTTGGCAGGGGGTTGGACTGGATGGCCCTTGAGGTCTCTTCCAACTCTTTGATTCTATGATTCTATGAATATTTGCCTGTTACTATGATGGAAGCCAGCCTGAGTCCCCATGGAGAGACAGGGCAGGATACAAATGAAGATTATTATTATTATTATTATTATTATTATTATTATTATTATTATGTTATTGTTGATACCATATTGTTTTTGTTGACCCTCCTTTTCCACTTACAGACTTAGTTTCCTGTTTTTCTTTGAAATACGGTAAATATTCAGAAACATTTAGCCTCCTGATGCCTCAATAAATGTAATTTTATTGGTATATATTTTTATTTTGAAATTTACCAGTAGCGGTTGCATTTTCCACCCTCGGCTTATAGTAGAGTCAATACGTTTTCCCAGTTATTGGTGGTAAAATTAGGTTATATTTATTCTTTTTATTTTTATATTCAGGTCGGCTTATAGTCGAGTATATACACGGGTAGTTATTTACTTACCATGGTTAGCAGCAAAGGGAGCAGGGTTGCTGGCACAATTCCTTCAAGCCGGAAGCCCATGAGGGCAAGAAGGGATGTACCTGGCTGAGCAGAAGAGGAGATAAATGTCTTCATCAGCACCAGACAAGCAAATAAATCCCTACCTGAATCACCCCACAATTGCAGTATTTATTTACATATTTATTGTGTTAGAAGCAAATTGAGAATACAGTTATAATGTACAGAAAAACTACAAACAAAGTTAAAAACTTGGCATGATACTAAATGTCCAGAAGGCCCTCCATTGTGCATTGTATAAACATTGTAAACAGAAACATGCAGAATAATCACAGGACGTCTTAAACCTACACCTGTTGATACACTTTCATTGAATGAAACATGCAGAATAATCACAGGATGTCTTAGACCAGTGTTTCTCAATCTTCCTAATGCCGTGACCCTTTAATAAAGTTACCCATGTTGTGGTGACCCCCAAACATACTATTATTTTCATTGCTTCTTCATAACTATAATTTTGCTACTGTTATGAATCGTCATGTAAATATCTGATATGCAGGATGTATTTTCATTCACTGGACCAAATACCCAATACACCCAAATTTGAATACTGGTGGGGTTGCGGAGTGTGTGTGTGTGTTTATTTGGGAGTTGTAGTTGCTGGGATTTATAGTACACCTACAATCAAAAAGTCTTCTGTACTCCACCAACAACTGAATTGAACCAAACTTGGCACACAGAACTCCCATGAACAACAGAAAATACTGGAAGGGTTTGGTGGGCACTGACCCTGAGTTTGGGAGTTGTAGCTCACCTACATCCAGAGAGCACTGTGGACTCAAACAATGATGGATCTGGACCAAACTTGGCACAAATCCTCAACATGGCCAAATGCAAACACTGGTGGAGTTTGGGGAAAACAGACTTTGACATTTGGGAGTTGAAGTTGCTGGAATTTATAGTCCACCTACAATCAAAGAGCATTCTGAACCCCACCAACAATAGAATTGGGCCAAACTTCCCACACAGAATCCCCATGACCAACAGAAAGTACTGTGTTTTCAGATGGTCTTTGGCGACCCCTCTGACACCCCTTCACGACCCCTCCAGGGGTCCCGACCCCCAGGTTGAGAAACACTGTCTTAGACCTACATCTCCTGATAAACTCTCACTGAATGGAACATGCAGAATAATCACAGGATGTCTTAAACCTACACCTGTTGATACACTCTCGTTGAATGAAACACTCAGAATAACCACAGGATGTTTTAAACCTACACCCGTTGATAATGAAACCTACACCGTGTTTCAAAGACTGAAACATGCAAAATAATCACAGGATGTCTTAAACCTACACCTGATGATAAACTCTCATTGAACGAAACATGCAGAATAATCACAGGATGTCTTATAACCTACACCTGTTGATAAACTCTCATTGAATGAAACATGCAGAATAATCACAGGATGTCTTAAACCTACACCTGTTGATAAACTCTCATTGAATGAAACATGCAGAATAATCACAGGATGTCTTAAACCTACACCTGTTGATAAACTCTCATTGAATGAAACATGCAGAATAATCACAGGATGTCTTATACCTACACCTGTTGATAAACTCTCATTGAATGAAACATGCAGAATAATCACAGGATGTCTTAAACCTACACCTGTTGATAAACTCTCATTGAATGAAACATGCAGAATAATCACAGGATGTCTTAAACCTACACCTGTTGATAAACTCTCATTGAATGAAACATGCAGAATAATCACAGGATGTCTTAAACCTACACCTCTTGATAAAGTCTCATTGAACAAACATGCAGAATAATCACAGGATGTCTTAAACCTACACCTGTTGATAAACTCTCATTGAACGAAACATGCAGAATAATCACAGGATGTCTTATACCTACACCTGTTGATAAACTCTCATTGAATGAAACATGCAGAATAATCACAGGATGTCTTATACCTACACCTGTTGATAAACTCTCATTGAATGAAACATGCAGAATAATCACAGGATGTCTTAAACCTACACCTGTTGATAAACTCTCATTGAACGAAACATGCAGAATAATCACAGGATGTCTTAAACCTACACCTGTTGATAAACTCTCATTGAATGAAACATGCAGAATAATCACAGGATGTCTTAAACCTACACCTGTTGATAAACTCTCATTGAATGAAACATGCAGAATAATCACAGGATGTCTTAAACCTACACCTGTTGATAAACTCTCATTGAATGAAACATGCAGAATAATCACAGGATGTCTTAAACCTACACCTGTTGATAAACTCTCATTGAACGAAACATGCAGAATAATCACAGGATGTCTTAAACCTACACCTGTTGATAAACTCTCATTGAACGAAACATGCAGAATAATCACAGGATGTCTTAAACCTACACCTGTTGATAAACTCTCATTGAACGAAACATGCAGAATAATCACAGGATGTCTTAAACCTACACCTGTTGATAAACTCTCATTGAACGAAACATGCAGAATAATCACAGGATGTCTTATACCTACACCTGTTGATAAACTCTACTTGAACGAAACATGCAGAATAATCACAGGATGTCTTAAACCTACACCTGATTATAAACTCTCATTGAATGAAACATGCAGAATAATCACAGGATGTCTTAAACCTACACCTGTTGATAAACTCTCATTGAATGAAACATGCAGAATAATCACAGGATGTCTTAAACCTACACCTGTTGATAAACTCTCATTGAATGAAACATGCAGAATAATCACAGGATGTCTTAAACCTACACCTGTTGATAAACTCTCATTGAATGAAACATGCAGAATAATCACAGGATGTCTTAAACCTACACCTGTTGATAAACTCTCATTGAACGAAACATGCAGAATAATCACAGGATGTCTTAAACCTACACCTGATGATAAACTCTCATTGAACGAAACATGCAGAATAATCACAGGATGTCTTAAACCTACACCTGTTGATAAACTCTCATTGAATGAAACATGCAGAATAATCACAGGATGTCTTAAACCTACACCTGTTGATAAACTCTCATTGAACGAAACATGCAGAATAATCACAGGATGTCTTAAACCTACACCTGTTGATAAACTCTCATTGAATGAAACATGCAGAATAATCACAGGATGTCTTAAACCTACACCTGTTGATAAACTCTCATTGAATGAAACATGCAGAATAATCACAGGATGTCTTAAACCTACACCTCTTGATAAAGTCTCATTGAACAAACATGCAGAATAATCACAGGATGTCTTAAACCTACACCTCTTGCTAAACTCATTGAACGAAATATGAAGAATAATCACAGGATGCCTTAAACCTACCCCTGTTGATAAACTCTCACTGAATGAAACACGTAGAATAATCACAGAATGTCTTATACCTACACCTCTTGATAAACTCTCATTGACTGAAACATGTAGAATAATCACAGGATGTTTATTTATTTATTATTTATTTCGAGGTTTTATATACCGACCCTCTCACCTTCAAAGAGGGATTCGGACCGATTCACAACATGTGTTAACATACAAAGAATATACAATAACAACACAATGCCACTTCTTTACACGATTAAAATATGAGCACCATACACATTAAAACATTATCATCACAGTTAAACCTACACCTGATGATACACTCTCATTGAACGAAACATGCAGAATAATCACAGGATGTCTTAAACTTACACCTCTTGATAAAATCTCATTGAACGAAACATGCAGAATAATCACAGGATGTCTTAAACCTACACCTGTTGATAAACTCTCATTGAACGAAACATGCAGAATAATCACAGGATGTCTTATACCTACACCTGTTGATAAACTCTACTTGAACGAAACATGCAGAATAATCACACAATGTCTTAAACCTACACCTGATTATAAACTCTCATTGAATGAAACATGCAGAATAATCACAGGATGTCTTAAACCTACACCTGTTGATAAACTCTCATTGAACGAAACATGCAGAATAATCACAGGATGTCTTAAACCTACACCTGTTGATAAACTCTCATTGAACGAAACATGCAGAATAATCACAGGATGTCTTAAACCTACACCTGTTGATAAACTCTCATTGAATGAAACATGCAGAATAATCACAGGATGTCTTAAACCTACACCTGTTGATAAACTCTCATTGAATGAAACATGCAGAATAATCACAGGATGTCTTAAACCTACACCTGTTGATAAACTCTCATTGAACGAAACATGCAGAATAATCACAGGATGTCTTAAACCTACACCTGTTGATAAACTCTCATTGAACGAAACATGCAGAATAATCACAGGATGTCTTAAACTTACACCTGTTGATAAACTCTCATTGAACGAAACATGCAGAATAATCACAGGATGTCTTAAACCTACACCTGTTGATAAACTCTCATTGAACGAAACATGCAGAATAATCACAGGATGTCTTATACCTACACCTGTTGATAAACTCTACTTGAACGAAACATGCAGAATAATCACAGGATGTCTTAAACCTACACCTGATTATAAACTCTCATTGAATGAAACATGCAGAATAATCACAGGATGTCTTAAACCTACACATGATGATAAACTCTCATTGAACGAAACATGCAGAATAATCACAGGATGTCTTAAACCTACAACTGTTGATAAACTCTCATTGAATGAAACATGCAGAATAATCACAGGATGTCTTAAACCTACACCTGTTGATAAACTATCATTGAACGAAACATGCAGAATAATCACAGGATGTCTTAAACCTACACCTGATGATAAACTCTCATTGAACGAAACATGCAGAATAATCACAGGATGTCTTAAACCTACACCTGTTGATAAACTCTCATTGAATGAAACATGCAGAATAATCACAGGATGTCTTAAACCTACACCTGTTGATAAACTCTCATTGAATGAAACATGCAGAATAATCACAGGATGTCTTAAACCTACACCTCTTGATAAAGTCTCATTGAACAAACATGCAGAATAATCACAGGATGTCTTAAACCTACACCTCTTGCTAAACTCATTGAACGAAATATG